TGACTTTTGCTGCTTGTTCAAACTACTATAAAAAGAGCTGAAACGACACAATCTTTGAGCTTTTTGGCAGACAACTTAATTTTTTTAATGCTCAATTCACTTACATTTGTAAAAACTAAGTAGTTAATTTAATTCCTCCTTGTTGTCCCAACACAAATTGATTGTGTGGAACCCAGCATTTTTTACTGTGCGTGTGTGTGTGTGTGTGTGTGTGTGTGTGGATCAAACCCAGGATTTCTTTTGTGTCTGCATGAAATGAAATATATAAAACTGCTTTATAATATTCAGATGTCCTGATTTTGATTTGCAAGCTCATGTTTTTAGATTCTGTAAAAATATTTGATCAGATCTTGATTTATACTGCTGTGGGAAAAATCGCTTGAATATTCAACATTTCTTCAAACTATTTGGATTTATTAGGGATGGTTTTGATTAAAATGATTAGATTTTAAAATTAAGGTCTTATAATAGTTCTAATGAAGTCAAATAAAAAACATTGTTTACAGCATGTTCTCCTCAAATCACTCAGAAAACTGGTCAGAACGCCAAATTTTTTAATGTTGTGTTTGAAATTCAGGGTTAGTTCACCAAAAATGATGCCTTAAATCTCAACTAAATGAAAACAAGGCACTGTTTTTTATAAAAAAAAAAACAATTCAAATTTAAATTTGTAAAAATGTCATTAAAATGAAATAAAGAAATCTGTTTATTTTGTATAGCCCTGTTATACACCAAACATATATTAAAGGTGCTGTTTGTAAGTTTCTGACTCTTCTAAAACATAAAAATACCACAATATGTTTGCAGATGTCTAAGAAACATGCACAAGAAACAAGTGTTGTGAACATTCTTGTTTATCTGAAAACAATGCTGAAGTCAGCTATTCTGCTTTGAAAATGTGCATTTCGTGCTGGAACATCTGTCTTTGTTTTGGTTCTTTTAACCCCCCCAATACCAGTTTAACCAATTAAATTTCAGCCCCCCGGGTTGCCATGGTGGAAAACAGGGTATTTCATTCATTCAGTCAGGAAGGTGGGCGGTAGCAGCCTCAGAAATTAGAAGCATATTCAGAGTTCCACATAAGGTGATTCTTAATTCGCAGTAATGAGCAATTTGGCTGTTTGCACCTGACAAAACACGACAGAAATTTAAACTCAGCCATTCAGAAGCACAGAGTAGTGCACTCACTGCGCACCAATGCAATGGTAAGGTTCATAATCTTTAACATTAAATGTAGATGCTGAATCACTGATATGTGTTGGCTTCACAGTTCTAAAGTTCGATTTCAAAGGGTTTATTTAAGATCTGAGGTGAACTGTCTGCTGCTGCTTTCAGTAGTGTGGCAATAAATGTCATGTAAAATGGCATTCAAACTCACATTATTAGCATTTAACACTGATTAAGCTCATGAAAGCACATAAAGCACAAGAGGTATACCTGAGGTGATCATTGTCAGTTTATCCTATTGTTCAGCAGCGAGAAATAGAAACCGTTTTTAAAATATAAATACATTTCAGGTGTTGGTTAGAACAAAAACTCCTTTTAATTAGGAAAATATTTCTTCTATCACGTGCTGTTGCTTTATTTAGAACACAAATTAAATCAGCCTTTAGGCTCGACAATCAGGCTTCTGTTTGTGTCCTTAATTTGGTAACTTTGCTTGAGTGTGTTTTGAACCAGGTGTGCAATACCTAGTTCAACCACTGGGCGTCATGCTTACATACTGCACCATTAAATTGAAGTTAAATTCATTCATTCATTTTCTTGTCGGCTTAGTCCCTTAATTTATCTGTGGTCGCCCCAGTGGAATGAACTGCCAACTTATCCAGTACATTTTTATGCAGCGGATGCCCTTCTAGCCGCAACCCATCTCTGGGAAACATCCACACACCCTCCTTCACACCCACATTAATACACTATGGACAATTTAGCCTACCCAATTCACCTGTACCGCATATCTTTGGACTGTGGGGTAAACCGGAGCACCCGGAGGAAACCCACGCGAACGCAGGGGGAACATGCAAACTCCACACAGAAACGCCAACTGAGCCGAGGCTCGACCCAGCGACCTTCTTGCTGTGAGGTGATAGTGCTAACCACTGCGCCACTGCATCGCCTTGCAGTTAAATATTGTATTACATTTTTCAGATAACATAATAAAGAAATAAGGTTCAAATAATGCTTTATAATTGTTCAGAACAACAGATAATTTTGTTAAATTTAAACCACATGCTTATTTTGACGTACTTAATAGAATTTATATTTTAAAAATGGTATATATAAACATTATGAATGATCCTGAAAACAGCTTTTGTTGCATACATTTTATTTAGATTTGAAGTTAAATCTGACCACAGTGTGTGTTCTATTACATTTCTGCCAATGCATTTCATGCAATATAAGACACAGGAAAAAGATCAAATAAAATAACTAGGGATGCTCCGATCAGGATTTTTGCAGCCGATACCAGGTACTGATTCTTTGTTATGGTGATCGGCCGATACAGAGTACCGATTCTGATGCTTCAAGCTTTATAATGCACATTAAGCACATTCTCCTTCTAAGTAATTGGGGATCTTGCCTTAACCTAAGACAGGGGTCAGCAACCCGCGGCTCTAGAGCCGCATGCGGCTCTTTAGCGCTGTCCTTGTGGCTCCCTGGAGCTTTTTTAACAATGTTCAAAAAGATGGGGGAGGTTAGTATATATTTTTGTTTTAATATGATTTCTATAGGAGGACAAACATTTTTAACGTTTTCAAATGCTGTAAAAGTGTGTAGAATTAATATTTAATTTCAACATTTCTGTGTTAATTTCAACCTGCGACATAGGTTTCTATGAGCAGGGCGGGATGCCAGGCAGGTGGCTGTTGTACACAAACCTGGAGATAATAAAGCATGGAAAACCGTTCACAGATGGTGACTACATGAAGGAGTCATTCATCAACATATTAGAACACCTATTTGCAGAATTCAAAAACAAAATCAAGATAATACAAAAAATTAAAGATATACCTCTCTCCGCTAAGACAGTGAAGGAAAGGGCTATTAAAATGGCAGGTAACATCACCGATCAGCAAACCAAGGACATTAATTCAGTGCCAGCATACTCAATTGCCTGTGATGTGACCGATATTTAATGTGCTTTTATGCAGGTATGTGAACTCTAAAGAGCCGCAAGAAGAAATGATCAAATTAATACCACTGAAAGACCAGAAACTGTGCTGAAGTGTTTAAATGACAACGAAATAAACACCAACCACCTGATTTCAGTGGCTATTTAATCATGAAGGCTCATTATGTATTTATAGCCAACTTAGTCATTTTTATAGTAGGCTAATATAGCTACTATAGATACATACAGCATGTGTTTCCTTCATTATAAAGCTTATATAAGGCTTTACATTTTTTGCGGCTCCACACATATTTGTTTTGTTTTTGTTTTTTTACCAATGTGGCTCTTTCAACACTTTGGGTTGCCGACCCCTGACCTAAGAGAATAAATTAAGGATGCTGAATATAATCCTTTAAACATGTCTCTCATACCATTTAGAAATAAGAAAATAATAGAGATTTGCAGTGATTATTACTCTATTCATTTAACCTAACTAACATAATGCTTAGATAATCACTGTGCCTCTCTTGATCTGTTCTCTTGTCCGTTCACTCTCGTCATCATGATTTCTGTTTTTTTAACTGTATATGTAAAAGACTTGCAGAGCTTTTGGGAGAGATCATTGGGTTGGACACTTGATTAGGGATGATCGTTCAGCTTATGTCAGTTTATGTAGCCTGGATATATAACCTGGGTGTGCGCTTGGGTCTTTCTCGGATCACATGCGATCGGTTCATGAGATCAGCCAGATACCGATCAAGTAGGGGTGTCAAAATTAATCGTTTCTTCGGTGCACTGCGATTTCAGACGCGGACAATTCGGTATCGGTTCAGTAATAATCATAACTGGTTATTACTGACGTCATTTACCTCATATGCGCTCTGTTGCGAGGGAGGCGATCGAGAGTATTTACAACGCTTTAACTACTTAAAACTCATAAACTGTGCACAATTTCACTGTGTGTGTTTGCTGGATCAGTCTTTCACTGACATATACAACAACAGCCCCTATTTCACTGAGATCGGGAGAATGAAAGTAGCCTACTCCATTTCTCTTTCTCTGTCTCTCTCTCTCTCTCTTTCTCACACACACACAGTAGCCCATTTGACCTGCTGGATTAGCTTTTCTTCTCTTCTCGGCTGTTTTACAGCGTTACTTTTGCATACAGAAACGAGCGTGTGTCTGCAGAGTTTTCTCCACCGTGTCTATCATACATCAGCTGTGAGATCACCGCTGCCGCTTATCAGTATCACTCATCTGTGAAGAGCGCAGCGCGCAAGAGCCAATCGCAACCGTTTTTTTTTTTTTGAGGGTGTGACCAATCAAAGGGGTGTAAGAGAACTAGACAAGGATCAGAAATTGAGCTGGATATTTATATTTGTTTATATTATTTGCTAAATGCTCGTTTTGTTTAAAGTTACAGTTTATATATCTGACTGTTTGTATTAAATGACAAAATTGTATTACAAATAGTATATAAATATAAATATATTCATACATTTTAATACAAGAAATGCTGCTGTGAAGAAAATATAAAACTGTGTATGTAAAGCACCGTCAATGCACCGAAATATCGAATTGAACTGAATCGATGGCATGATAATCGTAACCGAACCGAACCGTGAGACTAGTGTAGGTTCACAGCTCTACGATCAAGTCATTAAATGTGATTATCGACCGATGGCGATCTCGATCGGTCAGAGCTTCTTTAATAATGACTCCTATTTGCATCCAAGCAAGCTGTTGTTGGTTTGTTTCAATTAAGACTTGAGTGTTTGTGTTTTGCTATGCAGTTTAGAAATAAAGTAATGTGCACAGATCTGATATCCATCCTGTAAAACATATTTGAGCTTTTAATCTGATGTGTGATCTCTCTGTTTTGTTGTAGGTGTGAGTTCTCCTGCTCTTTCTCTGGTCAGTATGCAGGGCTGGGTGACTCTGGCTGTGTTGCTGAGCCTTGGGGCCGAACACTCTCATGGACAGAACGGTGAGTTTCATTCATTTCCTCAGACAGATTGATCAGGCCATGTTGGCAGATTCCGCCAAGTCATGCTAAGTTTAACTGACCTCTAGAATAACATTCATCAGTGCATTTATTTTATAAAGTGGGGCAGGTTTTAAAGTTGCAAAATCATTTATTTGACCATAAATGTAGTAAATATTGTGAAATTCTGCTATGGAAACAAATAGGAGGCTATTTTACTATTTTATTTATGTTTGTTATATATTTATGTTATTTATTTTATTAGCTAAATGGTAAATTTAAATTCTTTTATATTTTTCTGTTTAACAGAAGTTTTATTTCAGGACATTTCTAATCATAATAGTTTTAATAACTCATTTCTAATAACTGATTTCTTTTATCTTTGCCACAATGACAATAAATAATATTTGACCAGATATTTTTTAAGATACTAGTATTCAGCTTACAGTGACATTTAAAGGCCTAACTAGGTTAATTAAGCTAATTTGACAAGTTTGTGTAATTAGGCAAATCATTGTAAAAGCTTTCTTCTGACCAGTGGTTCTCAAAGGAAACGGGAGTGGGAGTCGTGAGACAATGCGGGGGACGCTTGGTGATTTCCAAAAATCTCATATATTTTATTAAACTATTAGAGTTATCATATTTTATCCATAAGAAGATGTAGTTTTTAACGTATAATGTTTAATATAACAACACTGAACATGGAGGATGATCTCCTAGTGGCTGTCTCCAAAATTAAACTAGGAATAGTCTTGTGCTGTAAACAATGTTCTCACCATTCTCATTAAGTGAGGTTTATAATAAATTAAACAAATGAATAATGATTATAAAAATATATATGGTTGTTAGACTTGCACTTTTTTGTGTTGTCAATATGCTCATGTTATATAGTTCTTATTGGTGTGTGTGCACCAGTGTGTGCAATATTTGTATGTGTACACTGTAAAATCTTCAGAGTAAAATTTACTCAGTTCAGATAACATTTGGTCCCTCTCTAAGTTGAGCAAAATTTACTCAGCAGCAGAGTTAAAGTTAATGAGACAATGATGGGGTTAATTAAGTGATGATTGAGCACTGATGATGAACACCTGCTGTTAATAAGCAGAAACAGAGAAGAGAAACACAAAACTACATCTACCTTCAGTCACAGCCGTAGATTAAATAAACTGAAATAAAACACATCAAATCTCTCAAAATCTCAGCAAAGGATCATTAAGTAACTCCACAAACGGCAGCTTTATTTATTAACAACATGTTTGGCCTTATTTCTGGCACACTCTATAAAATTCCATATAGGTATATATTCCATAAAAAAATTTGTAGTCAAAATAAAACAAGTAAAACTTTCTTCAGAAGAAAAAAAACATTATAGGAAATACTGTGGAAAATCATTTTCTGTTACTTGAGACAATAAAAAAATAACAAATATTGCACAGGAGGGCTAATCATTTTGTTCATAACTTTTCTGAAATGCAAACATTGCAATTGTGCTGTGGAAGAATTTATAAAAATATTTCTAAAAGAAAAAAAAAACAATTCAGAAACTTTTTTTTTATTTTATGCAAAGAAAATAAGCAAGATCATGTAGATTTTAAATTTGGAAGAAATCAGTAGTATGAAATCGTTAGTTTCCATAATAACTCATTCAATAACTAAATACCTTAACTGTAAAGTGTAATTCCAGAGAATTTGAGCATTTTTGTTAATGTTCTCTTAATTTTCTCCTAAGCTGTTTTACCATTTGAAATGAACTGTTTTCAATCTAACAATGTAATTTATTCCTGTGGCTTTTCAGCATCTCATGGTCTCTTCCTAAGAAACATTTTAATTGCTTTCAACATTGAAATTGGTTGTGATAGATTTAATATTTGGTGGAAATAGAAATCTCATGTAATATATTAGTGATAAGTGAATGTGTCTTTGCTGGTTGATAGTATTAATTTCTTAAATAATACTGACACGAAGTTTTAAATAATGGAAGTTGTTTTTAAAACTTAACTTAAAAGATTATTTTGTATTTCACTAGCAACAATTATAAAAGATAGTAAAATCACTGACTACACAGAATTTAGCAATTGATGCATTTTTCCTTCTCTCTCTTTGTAATATTGTAGGTCTGGGTGAACTTGCAGTGCCCCGTGGTTTAAGCCTACAGCCTGATTTACCTACACAGACTCTCACTTTGACCTGGCAGAGCGACTCATCGCTTTTTGACATCGAGATTTTCCACACAGAGTTCATGAATGTGGTGCTAAATGTAAGTGCTCTCATATCTTTGCCAGTAGATGTGATATTGACGGTTGTGTTGTTGCAAAAGTTGTGTAGTAGCAAAGTCCTAGTTTAATTTCTACACCTTATTAGGTGTTTTAGCAGTATTTTACCCCATATTCTATGTCTTTTATATACTATTAGGCTTATTCTGTTGTATATTTCTGTTCAGCACTTTGACACACATCTGTGTTTTTTTCTATGTGCTCTATAATAAAGGTTTGAATTGAATGTGATTGAATTTAAGGGACTCACTAAGCAGTTTTGTGTTTAATAAACATCTAATAGACATCTAAATGTAGATGTATTAGCTAAAACAAGGCTAAATTTGATCTGTCAGCAAAAATAATATATATATATATATATATATATATATATATATATAGGCTAAAACTAGACTAATACAGATTAAACAGACTTTACTTTAGTCATTCATCCCTGTGAATTTGATGACTAGTCTACTTTTGGGCGATTCTTAGATGTCTATTAGATTCATTTTAACTATAATTAGATGTTTGTTAGACTTCCTTTAAAAACAAAAACAGTTTGCTTGGCTTGACAGCCATCTTTTTAATGCCTCTTGAGCATTGAAGTGCAACCCTTATCTCTTTGAATGGGGAAACATCAGATTTCCAAAACTTACGATTAAATGTCATATTTACACTCACCAATGAAGTTTAATAACTACTCTCTCTCTCTCTCAGAAATGTAGTTTCTAAATGTTCAAATCATGATAGAAAAAAAAAAACATCCAGGTTTTCCAAGGTAATGTGAAGACTACTGTAAAAATCTGTCATTAACGTTAAAGAATATAATCTTCTGAATAACACCATGTCCAATCATACTAGTCCTCTGAAATAATTTATTTTCGTTATTATTCCTGTATTAAAATTTCCTCCTAAAATGACAGCAACCTCTTTGTTTACTAGAGTAAGAGGTTGATGTTAGGGCTGCTCGATTATGGGAAAAATCATAATCACGATTATTTTCGTCATAATTGTAATCACGATTATTCAAAACGATTATCAGTTGAAGTCAAAATGATTCGCCCTTCTGTGAATTTATTTTTATTTACAAATATTTCACAAATGATGTTTAACAGAGGTTTTTTATTTATTTATTTTTTTTTACAGTATTTTCTATAATATTTTTTTCTTCTGGAGAAAGGCTTATTTGTTTTATTTCAGCTAGAATAAAAGCAGGTTTTAATATTTTGAAACCTATTTTAATAGCTCGATATTATTAGCCCCTATTATTAGCAATATATATGTTTGATTGTCTCCAGAAGAAACTACTGTTATACAATGACTTGTCTATTTACCCTAATTAAGCCTTTGAATGTCACTTTAAGCTGAGAATCTTGAAAAACATGTAGTAAAATATAATGTAGTCATCATAGCAAAGATAAAATAAATCAGTTATTAGAAATGAGTTATTAAATCTGTTATGTTTAAACTGTGCTTTAAGCATCTTCACTGTATTTTTTATTTTATAATTGATTAATAATAAAAACAGTCGGCAGCAGCAGGAATACCGCACGCTGTCACTTTAAGAATAGTGCGGCTCTGATATGGTTTCTCTTTCTTGTGTCTTTTGATTCTCAACTTGTTTGTTTATTACACAAATGAGGGTTAATATGAATAATCACTAAACACTGCGCTCTGACACAAATGTGCATGTATTTGACCATTAAAGCGTTCACATTAAGATCGCGTTAGATGTGTGTGCTCGCTCTGCTGTCCGATGCTAAGCCTCACACACAACAACACGTGCTCTTTTGCGCTTTTAAAAATATGAATGATGCGCATCCCGTGCTGCAAAAGTTACATTACAGCTCACGCTTTTAGTCATTTTCACGTGGAACTGAGCTTTGCAGAGGCAAAAAGTTTTCACACGTGTACAACTGGAAAGGGGGCAGTACGTGATGGAATAATCGTTTATCTCGATTAATGGTTCTTCATAATTGTTAAAAGCCAAAATCGATATCGAAATCGAATTTTTGATTAATTGCACAGCCGTAGTTGATGTCATGTGATTTGCATTTATATAATGGAGGCGGGAATGGCTTTACAATTATAAAAAACGTTGTGATGCATTACAAAATCCAAGAACATTTATTTTCAACTGTTATTGGTTTATTTAAAAGTAGAGTTTTTAAACTTGATCTGTTTCTCGTGCATGTGAGGCAAGGCTTTGATGAGATTTTAGCGCGTTTGCCGACCGCATAGAACCCCTTAACAAAGAAGCTGCAGAAACTGTCTTAAAAACACACATCTTAACCAAGCCCCTCCCCCAGAAGATAGTCAGTCTATAGCGATTGATGATTGGCTCCTTTAGTAGAAGGCAGGGCTTCCTTCAATAGAACTAGGGTTGTAACAATATACCGGTATGACGGTCTACCACGATTTGAACGTGCACGATTATCATACCATGAACAATTGCATATCAACGGTTTTAACCCTTAAAGACCGACACAGCCGCCCGCGGCTAAAAATAAGTATTGCTCTTAAATGTTTAGTAACTTTTGATCCGCTGATTCGCGGACTTTCAGAGGCTCCGGAATCAGTGCGGTTACGTCATCAAAATTCGACAACGCTGATTTGACAAAGAAACGCTCGTCACTGTGTCTCCGGACAAACCAGACACGATACATTGATGCATTGTCCCTCCTCCATGCCCAGATTGGTTCAAACTCGCTATATCACAACCAATAAGCATAGGTTTCGCTTTTGTTTGTGGACCAACAATGAGCTTTTTGAACAACACGGAATGAGAGATAGGCATACATTTATGCGCGGCTAAATAAAACGCAAAAAAAAAAAGTTTTGCATGAAATAATTCTCATACTAAGTACTTTTGCATGCACAGCAGCACAGAAACATGACAAAACAGTGACACAGCAAAGACGAACTGCTGCTCTTGCTGTTTTCAAAAGACATTGCAGACAACCATATCCAAATCCATATCCAGACAACCATATCCATGCTGGCACATAAAACCTAAGGATGTTCCATATAGAATCTAGTTTCGTTATGTAACTATTTATAGTATAATAAATATTTATATCTATTTTTTTACTGAGGATTTGCACCATGTTTATTTGGACTTTATTTGGACTTTGACACATTATTTATTATTTTCTTATTTTTTTATTTGTTCATTGTAAGTGGTGTTGTTTATAGTAGCTGAAAATATATTATTTGGAAAAAGTCAAATTTGCTTCACTGTTCTATTATTTTGTAACATTTGTAACATACCGTATACCGCGAAACCGTCAAACCGTGGTATTGTTTTAGACGATTATCATACCGTAAAAAATTCATACCGTTACAACCCTAAATAGAACTGACCTAGAATTTCAAACTATACCAGTTAAGGCTGTACAATATATAGTTTGAGCATCGATTTTTCAATGTGTGTATCTGCAACAGTCACGTTGCAGGAATAGATTTTTTATTAAAGATTAAAAGACAAAGATATTATTTAATATTAATATTTTTTCATTATTTATACAATGATGACCATGATATCATTACATTTTGGCACTTGAATACTGTTCGACTCCCCAGGAAACCATAAAGCACAGTTTGTTTTATTTATTTTTCGCTTGTAATTTATTCAAATGTATGCAGATAAACTGCATAGAGAAAGACATGATCATCATACCATCAATCTAAATTAATGTAAATTAATTCAATCTTAAATTAAATATATACAAATAGAGCTATTCAAATCATGTGATGAAATTATATTTATATCAGGGCAAAACAAAATATCACAAAGTCAGATTTTTCCACTATCATTCAGCTTTAAAACCAGTGATATATCTTGTATATTTATAGTTCTTGGTTGTAGTTAGTCAGTGTTAAACTGTACATTTGGTTGTATGCAAAAAAAATCAATCACTGGGAATCAAACCTGGAACATCTTGTTTTGTTTGTTTGATTGATTTATTGTGACATTAAGTGGTTCCACCTTCATTTTACAAACTGTAATATGTAAATAATGAAATTCAATACAAAAAATAACTCGAACCTGTTTCTCCACTTAATGTTTTCCCATCTTCTATGAGTCATCGTCTGTGACTTAAAGAGCTCAAAGATGCATGTTATGACTGCTGTTACATTAACGCCTAACATGTTTTGAAATTCATCGGCCAATACGTTTTTCAGAATTGCAAAATCTCTTTACTGTTGGGTTGGCAAGGCAAGTTTATTTATGTAGCTCATTTCACACACTCTGGTAATTTAAAGTGCTTTGCATAAACAAGAATAAAGAAACAAGTATAAGAAAATAAAAACAATAAAGAATAAAAATAATTGAAAACTGATTAAAATGTTTTTTTAGACCGGTTTTAAAGCAAGGGAATAGATAAGAAAGACATAATAGTATGATCTGTTGGATGTAACAGTGGTCAATCAGTAAAGGCACAGCTAAACAGATGTGATTTTGGTCTTGATTTAAATGAGCCTAATGTTGGGCACATCTGATAATTTCCGGAAGGCGAAATCGCTCTGCTTTGACTGAACTCTTGAAATTTCTTATCTACTTGATCCTTATGATCTGAGTGATCTGTTAGTTTTGTATTCAATAAGCATGCCTGTACTGTATTGAGGTCCTAGGTCATTTAGTGATTTATAGACAAGTAGTAATACCTTAAAATTCATTCTGAATGTAACTGGGAGCCAGTGTAAAGACCTGAGGAAAGGTGTGATGTGCTCTGGTTTTCTGCTTCTAGTCAGAATCCTGACAGCAGCGTTCTGGATGAGCTACAACTGTTTGACTGTCTGTTTGGGAAGGCCAGTGAGGAGTCCATTACAGTAATCCACCCTGCTGCTGATAAATGCATGAACAAGTTTCTCTAAGTCCTCACTGGAAACAAAGCATCTGATTCTTACAATGTTTTTGAGATGATAGAATGGGGATTTAGTTACTGCTTTAACATGATTACTGAAACTCAGATCTGAGTTATAGTCTAAAAGTGTGATCTGTCGGACGTAGCACAGTGCTCATTCAGTAAAGACACAGATAAACAGATGTGTTTTCAGTCTCAATTTGAATGAGCCTAATGTTGGAGCACATCTGATCACTTTTGGAAGCTGATTCCAGCAGGGGGGCGCTGTTAGTAGCTGAAGGTGGATTCACCCTGCTTTGACTGAACTCTTGAAATTTCTAATTGACTTGATCCTAAATTCTGGTTGATCTGTTAGGTTTGCATTCAGTGAGAATATCTGTAATGTATTTAGGTCCTAGGCCATTTAGTGATTTATAGACCAGTAATAATACTTTAAAATCTATTCTGAATGTAACCGGATGCAGTGTAAAGACCTGAGGACAGCTGTGATGTGCTCTGATTTTCTGGTTCTGGTCAGAATCCTGGCAGCAGCGTTCTGGATGAGCTGCAACTGTCTGACTGTCTGTTTGGGAAGGCCAGCGAGCAGTTCGTTACAGTAATCCACCCTGCTGCTGATAAAAGCATGAACAAGTCATCACTGAAAACAATCTAATTCTTGCAACGTTTTCGAGATGATAGTATGCTGATTTACTAACTGCTTTGACATGACTGTTGAAAATCAGATCTGAGATATATTCCAGGGGTGTCCAAACTCGGTCCATTAGGGCTGGTGTCCTACATAATTTAGCTCGAACTACCTTCAACACACCTCCCTGGAAGTTTCTAGTATACCTAGACAGAGCTTGATTTAGCTGGTTCAGGTGTGTTTAATTGGGGTTGGAACTAAAATATGCAGGACACCGGCCCTCCAGCACCGGCTATTATTAGTGTGATCTGTCAGAAATAGCACAGTGCTCATTCTATACAGATGTGTTTTAGCTCTTGATTTGAATTTGCCTAATGTTGAAGCACATCTGATAATTTGGTGGAGTGTTATTGCGTCTCAACTTGAAATGGAATATTCAGGGTTAAAAGCAGCTCTGTCAACACTGTCTTGATTACCATAGAGAATAATGTATTCGGGCCTTTTATTGTAATTGCATTACTGATGCTTTTTAACTGAGGGACGAGTCGAAATGACTTCCTGTGGTAATCGACAGCTTGCCGCAGACTGTAGATGTGTTTGATGCAATATATTCAGCAGTCAACATCAAATCTGAATTTATGTAGCTATTTTCTTGCGTTGTTCATGTACTTGTAGTACTCTTGTGTACATTTTATCAGTGCACGCTATTCAGCATCTTGCTTCAAAAAGCAATCATTTGTTTCACTTCCTTTTATCTAATGTAGCGAATAACAATCTTTAGAAAATGGATATTTCTGGAGTGATTTTGACCTTCAGCCTCCACGTCCCAGTCAAAATGTCTGGTGAAAAGTGGAAGGGAGTAGGTCACCCACAATCCACTGCAAACGCACATTTAGCTTCAAAGACTGGAGCGATGCCCTTTTTTTTTTCAGCATGTATTTTTCCAGTGCTTTTTCCCATAAGGATTTCAAAGAAGGTCTTCAATTATAAACCATAAACCATTTAACATTGAAAGTGTGGCTGGGTTGATCAAAATTAGTTTCTCAGTTTGAATTTATACTGACATGGAACTTAAAAATTCAATATCGAATCTTTGCTGTTATGTTGATGTGCTTAAAGCTTCAAAATAAATGAATCATTATTAAAATGAATATTACTGGTTACACTTTACAATATGGTTGCATTAGTTACTGTTTGTTAACGTATTTACTAACATGAAAAAACAGTGAACAATACATTTATTTCAGTATATATTGATCTTTGTTAATCTTAAAAATAGGGACGATAACCGTTTAAGGTATACTGCACTTTGGAAAAGTCATGGTTTTAAAACCACCAAAATTGTCTGTAATAGCGTTTCTAAGGTATGTGTACGATTTTTATTTACATTTTTTGTTTAGTTTTTTTAGGACAACAGTATCTCTAGCAGAAAAATCCAAAAATATCCAAAAGGTGTTGTTTTAAATTGTAAATAAATCTGTGTTTTTTTTAAACTAATGAAGACAGCAGAAGTCAATAATTCATTTTCATTATTTGATATTATACATTTTTCAAAAAATAAACTATATCGTGTTCAAAGGGGAACAGTTTTGTTTGTTATCCAGAAATTTTAAAAGAATATATTTTAGAGCAGTAACCACAATACCGTGATACTGGGAATCCGGGCTATTTTTATCCAAGGTTATTAAACTTCTCATACCAGCCCATGCCTTTATAAGCATAACTATAGATTTTAAAAATGCGTTAGTAATTATTGAACTATTATTAATAAATGCCTGTACAATTATTTTTGATTATTATTTAATTAATAACTTTTTAAACCTTATTTTAACACTTTAACCATTTTAGATTTGTTTTTAGAAAGCGTTATATTTCAGTGTTTAGGTAAAATTCATGAAAACAATCTAATGATGATTATGCCTAGAAAATTAAATGAATTAAAAAAAAATTAAACATTTTATTCTGCCAGGAAATCTGTTAGAGAATTATTTAGCAAATAAGTTATTATTAAAAAATATGGCCACAGAAGGAAGACTTGTACATTATAGTTATAATCGAATAGAAAGTAATTCTAATTCCAGTTTTATCGATTAGATATCACTGATTAATGGTATTAATGAATTAATTTATTAATGAATCAATTAATAAATTTATTTCACATTGAAATTACATTAGTTAAATTGGGTTGCAAACGTCATGCTTAAGGTCATTCGTTCATTCATTCCTTCATTTTCTTTTCGGCTTAGTCCCTTTATTAACCAGGGGTCACCACAGGGGAATGAACCGCCAACTTATCCAGAATATATTTTACACAGTGGATGCCCTTCCAGCTGCAACCTATCATTGGGAAACATCTTTTTAACACAATGACAATTTTAGCTTACCCAATTCACCTGTGTGTGTAGCTTACCCAATTCACCTATGTCTTTGGACTTGTGGGGGAAACTGGAGCACTCAGAGAAACTTCACGCCAACATGGGGAGAACATGCAAACTCCACACAGAAATGCAGAAAATTTCTTGCTGTTAGGCGACAAATGTGCTTCACAATAGATGCGGATTCACATAATTTTATTGAGAGAATAGCTGTGTTTGTGTTTTATGACGGCTGAGTCATGTCAAGAGTTTCCGAACTGCATTGAGGCTCTGTCGGCGCCGATACAGTGGCGTTGCTCGCTGTAGAAGTTGGGACTTTCTCAACATTAGGCACCGATGGACGCTGCCGTTGTGAAGATAAATAACTGGTCCCTTCAGAATTTTGTGAGTCTAGTCAATTTTGAGAACAAAAAAAAAGAAAAACATTACAAATGTCATAACAAAGTCGTGTTAGGGTGCAAATATAAAACAGAAATCTCACTGAAAATCCCGAGTTTGATTCCCAGGGAAAGCATGAACTGGTAAAATGTGAGGGCAGTGGATGCTGCTTTTGGATTAAAGTATTTGCTAATGGGTGCCGAATGCATAAACATACATTTTCTCATGTATTTTTAGGAGACTGTGGCAGTCAATACCGATCCAGTAACAGGACAGCATAGTTGGACCTGGCACTCACCTTTACCACTACAGTGCACTTCTCATTCTGTGCAGATCAGAGCACGAAACCAGCAGTCGATCAGCCCGTGGAGCCCCCTAGAGACCATTCCAGGTACTACAAACACAGCTAGAATTCATTCTGGTCCTGAAGCCTGTGTCAAGCCTGAGGATCTGCAGTCTGTTCTAAAAACCAACCCACAAACATACTTAGCACTTTGTGGTCTTTGTTTTGAGAGTTTATTTTAGGATCTAGAGCAGTTCAATCCAGCTTGAGCTGACTCTGCTGCGACAGTCAGAGGTTATTTGAGTTTTATTTGGTAATTCATGTACAAATATGATATTTAGCATCTAAATATGCTTTCATACAGATTTGTAACTGCAGTGTAACTATGATGAAAATTGCCTTTAAAAATAGATGTTCTTTGATTTATCTAATTATGTATGCATAGTTTTCTTTTCATGTGTGTAGTTGTTGTTTTGAAGGCTACACTTAAGCCTTAAAGGTAAGGGTGTTATCTTGCTGGGTGTTGCTCTGTGGATGCACTTGATAAATGAAAGTAGTTCACTTTTACCAAACCTATATGACGTTGATGACACAAATGAAGATATTTTGGAAAATGAGACCTGGGGTCCGTTCTTTGTACGTCACTCAAATGATCTAAGATGATTTGGCAGATCCTGGATCTTTTAATCTTGATAACTGATCTCTCGCTAATTCCTTAACACAAGTTTCCGAATCAGATTAAAATTTCTGGATGAACTGACCTGAGATCGCTGTTGTGAAGGACAGATCTATCGATCCTCGAAATCATGATCAGCAATGCAACAATTGGCTGACAGCACAGAAGCGTAATGACGTCATCTGATTAATATTCAATCATCCATGTGAGCAAAATTACATAAAATTACTAGTAAACGGTTTGTTAAATATGACACGCAATAAATTTACACATTTGTTGTGAGCTGCAGGCTTTACACTTTCATGTGTCAAGAGTATTCATCATGTATTTCAAGCATATCAATGTATTTAGTTAATAATAATGGTAACACTTTACAATTAGGTTCAATAGTTAATGCATTTACTAACATGAACTAATCATGAACAACACATGTACAGCATTTATTAATCATCATTGAACATTTACTAATGCATTATTAACATCCAAGTTCATGCTTGTTAACATTAGTTAATGCACCGTGAGTTAACATGAACTAACAATGAACTACTGTATTTTCATTAACTAACAGTAACTAACATAAACAAATACAGTAGTAAATTTATTGTTCATTGTTTGTTCATGTTAGTAAATTCATTAATTAACATTTACTAATGAACCTTATTGTAAAGTGTGACCATAATAATAATAATAATGCATTTTATTTAAAGGCGCCTTTCATGACACTCAAGGTCACCGTACAGGACAACATTTACAGAAGATTTTCTTTATTATAATAGCCTACACCTATTAAATTTTTTTAAATCGCTGTTTGATATCAGTAAAGGTGTAAAACACCGGCATATTAGCAGTCAAAACACGTCCATGAATGTAAAAATAATTATCCTTTAAAAAAAAAAAAAAGTTGAATATTGTGCATGTACGTGTTTGTATCTAAAAATATCATATCAATACATTTTCTCTTTGAACCACCAGGTGGCAGCCTCTGTACTTTTATTTCGAAGTGCAGATTGCATAAGTTTAAAAAATATATTTTCTATTTTCCCAAGTGTATATAACTACTGTAAGAAATTTTCAGCATTTAGTATTATCTTTGCTTGAATTGACCCAATCTAATCCTGTTTACATGAAATGTACCTGCTCCCAAGCAGGTTTGAGCTACCAGAACCGTTGCTATCAATCAAGCCTTTATTTGTCACTACACTTTCGTATAGCGAAATTGGACCCCCAGACCATACACAAAACATCACAAACAACTTTTCAGGGGAGACAGATCTTAGGAGGTAGCATTTAGAAACGAAGAAAGATACATTTGGACAGTTAGGCTAAAAAACACCCCCTCAGCTTGCCCTTGATTAGGACAAAGTGAGAAAAGGGAGAAAAACAGCCCTATCTTAGCATAAGCACACCGGCAAGACACAACATAGACAGAGGGGATGGGAACAGGGGTAATGGAAAACAGTCCGTTGAGTGCGGGCAGGTGACAAGTCTAAGATGAGTTTTAAAGAACAAAACAATCCTGGATCGTGTTAAATCGTCAATATATAAATCCAGCTATTTAGGTAATCCACATACAAAGAACAGACCCTTGGTTGTGGAAGCTGCCGTGCATGGTGGTGTAAATTGACGTTTCAAAGAGATGTAAAGTAAATGAAATGCAGGTGGATAGGACATATGTGCGCATGCGCAGTACATGGACAAAAGCGTTTTCAGTTGTTAGTTGGATGACCAATTTTTACTGAAAGAATTGAGAGCGATAGTGTGGACCCCTGCTGTATGCGTTATGTTTTGTCATGGTATGTTGCTGTACATGTTTATGTTTTAGTATAAATTAGCATGTTGCTAGTATGTTTATAATAGGAATTAGCATGTTGCCAGTATTTTTATAGTATGAATTAACATGTTGCCAGTATGTTTATAGTATGAATTGGCATGTTGCTAGTATGTTTATAGTAGGAATTAGCATGTTGCCAGTATGGTTATAGTATAAATTAGCATGTTGCTAGTATGTTTATAGTATGAATTAGCATGTTGCCAGTATGTTTATAGTATGAATTGGCATGTTGCTAGTATGTTTATAGTATGAATTAGCATGTTGCCAGTATGTTTATAGTATGAATTGGCATGTTGCTAGTATGTTTATAGTAGGAATTAGCATGTTGCCAGTATGTTTATAGTATAAATTAGCATGTTGCTAGTATGTTTATAGTATGAATTGGCATGTTGCCAGTATGTTTATAGTATGAATTGGCATGTTGCCAGTATGTTTATAGTATAAATTAACATGTTGCTAGTATGTTTATAGTATGAATTAGCATGTTGCCAGTATGTTTATAGTATAAATTAACATGTTGCTAGTATGTTTATAGTATGAATTAGCATGTTGCCAGTATATTTATAGTATAAATTAACATGTTGCCAGTATGTTTATAGTATGAATTGGCATGTTGCCAGTATGTTTATAGTATGAATTAACATGTTGCTAGTATGTTTATAGTATGAATTAGCATGTTGCCAGTATGTTTATAGTATGAATTGGCATGTTGCCAGTATGTTTATAGTATAAATTAGCATGTTGCTAGTATGTGTTGGTCTGTTGTTAGTATGTCCAATGTAAAGTCAATGGCCGTTTTTTATAATAGAAGTCTATGGGGCAGTTGCTAGGGTGCTGTAAGTGGTTACTATGGTATGGCTAGTAAGTTGTAAGGTCGTCAATGATTGGCAGATTGGTAGTCTGAGTTAAATGAGCCCAAACTTATGTCTGTATGACAGTCTGGCGGAAAGTTATGAGGTAAGAAAGTTTGGTCCAGTGTTAAGTCAATGGGACTTTTCTGAATTTTCTGGGCCAGTTTTCAGAAAACCGCAAGTCGAATCAGTTGGAAAAGATATAGCAACTTAACTCAGTATGGTTTGGAGGTTTGAAGTTAGTTTGGTGGTTGTGGTATGAACCATCTAGGAGGAGATGTGTTCTTAAAATAGTCTAAGAAGAAGGCGACGGAAGAAGCAGCAGTATCTCGGCTTTCTCAAGCCACCATAATAACTTTTCTTTTGTATTATTGTTTTATAAATAAAAGAAATGTATAACAGTATACATGTGTTAAGGCGAAAGCTTCAGCAATTTATCACAGCGGGATAATTTAATACCATCATAAGCTTGATGGTGACTAGTCATTCTGGAAGTAAACCACCCCTTTAAAGTTATTTATATAATTTATCAAACTCAGCATCTCACACCTCATCTTTGTGTCTGTAGGGTCAGATATTCCTGAGAGGTCCGGCCCTAATATGTATCCCCAGGATAAGGTGGTTCTAGTGGGCAGTAACATGACCTTCTGCTGTATTGTGAAGGAGAAGGACTCTTTTAAAAGTATCAAGTATGGCGATCGGGAAATGAGCGCCACACGTTTGAGCAGAAGAGCTTATGCCATTACAGTGAACAACCAGCCGTCATCCAACACCACGGGCACAAACGTCTTCTGCATCGTCCAGAAGTTGACAGCAGTTGATGAGCTGATCACAGGAGCTGTGGTGTTTGTAGGCTGTGAGTATAATATTATTATACTATACTATATTACTGTTGCTTTTAATAAAAAATGCTGGAAGTCCAATATAGCAGACCTTACACGTTTGAAATAAATAAAGTTGATTTTCCAAGTCTCTCTATATGTGAATGGAGTCTTCCAGTTTAAACTTGTGTTTTATAAAAGTTTTACTTGTTTTTTTTTTTACTTCTACTCAAATGTAAGAAAATGTAGATCTATTTCCTTCAGTATTAGACCTTATACCTTGCAAATGTTTTGCATTTCTCAATTCTGAGGAAAGAAGACAGAATTGTGGGTAGAAAAGTTAGACGTTCAGGTTTGTTTCTGACCGTTCTAACTATTATCCATCTATCCATCCATCCATCCATCCAACCCTCCATCAGCCTGTCTAACAATCATCCATTCATCTTTCAATCCATCTATTCTTTAAGCTTTCTGTCTATTTGTCATTAATTCATTGTTCTGCCTGTCCATCTATCCATTCAACCATCATTCTTACTGTCCATCATTTATCTAATTTCTAATATCTGTGTCTGTCTGTTTTCCATCCATCCATCCATCCATCCATTCAATCATTCATCCATCCATGTCAATCCATTATCCATCTAATTTACTCTCTTTATCTGCCTGCTTGTTATTATGTCTGTCCATTTCATTCGATCTATTCATCCATTCACAATTCTGACTGTTTACTATATATTCATTCATCCATCCACAATTCTAACTTGTCTCCATTCTTCCATTCATCCTTTTTTCTCTGTAAGCCTGTCTAACCATCCATCCATCCATCCATCCATCAATTTATTCCTCCATCCTTTTATTTCTCTGTCAGCCTGTCTATGCATCCATATATCCAACCATCCATCCATCCATCCATCCATCCATCCTTCCATCTTTTTCTTTCTCTGTAAGCCTGTCTAACCATCATCCATTCATTAATTTATCCATTCATCCTTTTATTTATCTGTCAGCCTGTCTGTCCATCCATTCATCCATCCATCTATTCTTTTAGTCTCTAACCATCATCCATCCATCTATTCTTTCAATCTGTCTAACCACCACCATCCATCCATCTATTCTTTAAGTCTGTCTAACCATCCATCCATCCATCCATCCATCCATCCATTTATCCAGTTTGTCTAATCATCATCAATCAATCCATCTATTCTTTCAGTCTGTCTAACCATCATCCATCCATCCATCCATCCATCCATCCATCCATCCAGTTTGTCTAATCATCATCAATCAATCCATCTATTCTTTCAGTCTGTCTAACCATCATCCATCCATCCATCCATCCATCCGACTATTGTTTCAGCCTGATTTAGCCATCATCCATTCACCATCCATCCATCCATCCATCCATCCATCAATTCTTTCATTCTGTCTAATCATCCATCCATCCAATCTTTGTCTGTCTATTTATCATTGATTTGTTGTTCTGTCCATCCATCCATCCATCCATCCATCCATCCATCCATCCATAATTCTCTCTGTCCATCATTCATCTAATGCCTAATATCTGTCTGTCTGTTTGTTTTTCCATCCATCCATCCATCCTTCTGTCTATTTATCATTAATTTGTTGTTCTGTCCATTCATCCATCCATCCATAATTCTCTCTGTCCATCATTCATCTAATGCCTAATATCTGTGTCTGTCTGTTTGTTTTCCATCCACCCATCCATTCATCCATCCTTTTTTCTCTTTATCTGCCTGCCTGTTATTTTGTCTCTCTATCCATCCATCCATCCATCCATCCATCAACACCTATCTATCCGTCTGTCCGTCTGTCTGTTTGTCCGTCAACATCCATTTATCCATCCATTCATCCATACTCTGTCTGTCCGTCCATCCATCCATCCATCCATCCATCCATCCATCCAGTTAAAAACAGTCAGAACTGTGAGAGAAAAGTCACAAAACAGGATTTCAGTCATGTTTAAACAGGCGCAAAAAGAAAATTAAGTAGTGCCAAACTGAGACTGAGTTCTATAAATTAAATCTTTGTCAGTGATTGACTGTGCTGCTGGATGATTGCTGTGCAGAGACTTTTAAGTGGCTTTGCTGTATGTAATTTCTGCAGATCCGCCAGGCGACAAGGAGCTCGTCTGCGAGACTCGGGATCTGGCATCCGCTAAGTGTTCTTGGAAGAAAGGCAGAGACACTCGCTTGAAAAAGAGGAACAGTCGCACCAACTACACCCTTAATGGAAGGCAAGAAAACACACTACACAAGAACCACTGACCACACACTGTACCATTTGGCATTCATGACCGTAACGTCCTTGGTACATAAAAAGATCACTAAACGGCAGACCACATTAAATGGGATGGAAAAGGATACTTGTGTCATGTATATTTTTACTAATCCAAGAATTCCAGCAGTATTCTAATGCATTTATCATGCAGTTTTTTGGCGGTTATATATAATGTTTCTAAAAGAAAATCATGTTCCCCAATGATGCAGTTGTGATTAAATTAAATAGTATTATTGATAAATAGTATTACAATTAAATCAAAATAAAAAAATCAAGTTTTGTTTCTTAACTCATTAATAACTCAAATAATTAATAATATATTATAAATATAGGCGATGCGGTGGCGCAGTAGGTAGTGCTGTTGCCTCACTGCAAGAAGGTCGCTGGTTCAAGCCTCGGCTGGGTCAGTTTACATTTCTGTGTGGAGTTTGCATGTTCTCCCCGCGTTCGAGTGGGTTTTCTCCGGGCGCTCCGTTTTTTTCCCCACAGTCCAAAGATATTCGTTACAGGTGAAATGGGTAGGCTAAATTGTCCGTGGTGTATAAGTGTGAATGAGTGCGTATGGATGTTTCCCAGAGATGGGTTGCAGCTTGAAAGGGCATCCGCTGCGTAAAACATGTGCTGGATAAGTTGGCGGTTCATTCTGCCGTGCAGACCACGGATTAATTAAGGGACTAAGCCGAAAAGAAGAATGAATGAATGAAGGAATTCAAAATATATTCTAATGATATTACTATTCTAATATAATTAAAATAAGTATATTATTAGAGGATGATTGGCAATCAGCAAGCAGATATTTACAGTAATCCAGAGATGTTATAAAAACATGATCTAGCTTTTCTGCTGCTGAGAGAGATAGCATGTTTCTTAGCTTAGCAATATATCTGAGATGAAAGAATGCTGTTTCAAAGCGTTTAGATTCAAGCGGAAATTCACAGTAATCCAGTATAGAGGTCATAAAATCATGAACTAGCATTTCTGCAGCTGAAATAGGTGGCATGTTTCTTAGCTTAGCAATATATCTGAGGGCCTACTCACACTATGCCATCCGTACCGTGCCCAGGCCCATTTCCCGGATCGTTTGAGAAGTGTGAGTACCCTGAATCGGGCTCAAGCACGGTTTACTTGGCCGGCCCTGGCCCGGTTGGAAGAAGTGGGCCTGAGCGCGGTTCACTTGGGCTTGAAACTGAAAGCAAGACGTGACTTTTAAGGGGTTGTCTCATATGAATTTATTAATCATTCTTACTGTTCAGTGAACGCAAACTGCCGTAGCTTATTAAATACGCAAACCTCTCACTGCATGACAGCTGCGCACCTTCAGCAGACCTCCTCAATCCTGCAGCACGAGGGCTTTATGATTGTTTATGAGCGCTAAAAGTGGCAGATCTGTTCAGCAAAATATCTGACTGCGTGTCACCGCATCCCTAAGCACTGTTTGGTGAAATATTTGACTGCATGTTACTGCATATCAAACCATCTGAAACGATATAACTAGAGAAATCTCCACTGTGCTGCTGAGTGACAGCGCTTCTCACTGAACAGCACAGCAGCGATGACGCAAGCGTGCCCAGGCCCGATTGTGGTGCGAGTGCGGGCTGCGGGGGAGACGGGAGGGGGGACAAGCGTGCTTTGGCCTGGTTCGAGGCAACTGTACCTAGTGTGAGTACGGCCTGAGATGAAAGAAGGCTACTTCAAACGTTTTGTTTCAAGCGGAAATTCACAGTAATCCAGTCTAGAGGTCATACAATTATGAGCTAGCATTTCTGCAGCTGAGATAGATGGCATGTTACTTAGCTTAGTAATATATCTGATATAAAAGAAGGCAGTTTCAAACGTTTAGTTTCAAGCAGAAATTCACAGTAATCCAGTCTAGAGGTCATAAAATCATGAACTGGCATTTCTGCAGCTGAGATATATGCCTGATTTAAGAGTGTAACTATAAATTATTCAAGCGTTTCTAAATATTATGTTATATACTTTGTATGCAAATTTAATAATTTGATTAGTATTCTAATGTAATTATCACACTGTTTCTTGTGTGAATCAATAAGCATGTGTTTTGTTGTTTGTTTGTTTGTTTTTTCACGGATTTTTCTGTCCACAGGGTCTGTGGTGAGGCTAATGAAGGGAAGAGCTGGGAGTGCAGCTCAGAGGTCTGGGAAAAAAACTGGACTCTGGTCGCTCGAAATCCAATTGGAACAATCCAGCTCACTGACTCTGCTCAAATTACTGACCGTGGTACGTCGTACGCTATAGTATAGTGTTGTGGTCGGCCCTACCAGTTGAAATTTGTGATTTTGAATGTTTTAATGCTTTTTGTTTTAAGGCTTTTTGCTTAACAAGTCTGTGTTTATTTGATCAAAACGTACAGTAAACCCCTTAAAAATTAAAAACAGTAAAATATTTTAAAAAGTATTAAAATTTGTATTTTTTTAAATAATGCAGCAGAAAATGTTCCTTTATTCCTGCTATTCAGAGCGGATATTTAATATCATTACTTCAGATTTACATGATCATTCAAAAATCGTTATAATATATTCATTTTGTGTTTTATTATGATACATTTTTATTGGTTCTCAATTTATAGCGTTTCATATAATTATCAGTGTTGGAAAACAAAATTCTGCATTTCGTTTTGTGGAAGCTGTAATACAGTTTCTTTGAAAAAAAAAAATAATTCAAACGACATCTAACATCTACAATAGGTGACATTTCAAAAGGACCATACAGTTACATATACAGTACCGTCCTATGTAGTATTGTGAAAAGGCAAAGCTGAAAATTGCATGTTGATGTTTTAGCTGACAAAGTCAATGGTTAACGTGCCACCTAGTGGTCAAAAACTGCAGACACCTTTATTACCACCATGGTGACGGCAAGCACAGCAGCATGGAACAAATTAAAGTGTTAACATCTGTATCACTGTTTTTTTTTAGCATTAATAAATGTCTTTGATTTTACTCTTGAACAATCGGAATTGTCCTTTATGAATAAAGCTAAATGCATGTTTAATGGTAATTTTGAATGGCACTGTTTCACAGTTTCAACACGAATATGAAGCTGATCAATGGTTTTCAATAGTGATATTAATAATAAAGGTTTTGTGAGCAGCAGGTCCTCATGTTAGAATGATTTTTAAAGGATCATGTGACACTGAGAACAGAAGTAATGATGCTTAAAGAATAAATTTAGTGTTTAAGTACATTTAATTATCATTACTGTTATTATTAATACTACTACTACAACAACTAATTATTATTATTAGTAGTAGTGGTAGTTGTAGTAGTAGTAGTTGTGGTAACTGTAGTTGTTGTAGTAGTTGTAGTTGAAGTAGCAGCAGTAGTAGTTGTAGTAGTTGTTGTTGTGGTAGTAGTAGTAGTAGTTTTTATAGTGGTAGTAGTTTTAGTTGTAGTTGTATAAGTAGTTGCTGTTGTAGTAATAGTAGTAGTACTTGTAGTAGTAGTAGTCGTTGTAGTAGTAGTGTAGTAGTTGTTGTTGTAGAAGCATAGACTGTAAAATATATGGACGTAGTATCCGTGACGTCACCCATAGGTTTCTAAAGAGCGCAAAAGAAGCCACAAGTAGGCGCGGTCAACCGTCGCCATTTTGTTCGCGCGTCATCACACCTACGGCGGGATACAAAACAAGGGCAAAGAGGCGGAGAATGAGCGGAGCTACAGACACTGCTGGCATTTAGCTTGGACCTGGTTCAGACACACTTTACTTTGGGAGAACACTTAATACTTTATCACCTGTGACTCGTTTGTATTCTGAACACTTGTGCTTGGTTTTATACTATATTAATAAAGTGTTTAGTCTTTTAAAAACACTGTAGTAACATATTGAGCCACTCAACATTGCTCTTATGACGTTTTTCAACAGAAGGAAAACGTGAATTACTTCCAAACACTTCAGATAGAGTCTGTGTTAGTTATTGTAAGACTATTGATGAAATCCAGCATAACACTGTATGACAACGCTTCAGATGACTGTTCTAGCCCACAGCTAATCAATCCGTCAGATTCTGGAGTGCATTACAGCTCTAAATATAAATATAAACGATAAATGATCTTAAATAAAACAAATACATGTATAGAGATGGTATACAAGTATATAACTTTACTCACATGGGAAACGGAGGCCACGTGAATGGTTTGTGAGCACAATTAAGTGCCCTCAGCATGCCATGCCATCTAATAATTGTAGGAAACAAGTCCAAAAGGCAGTTGACTGTGTAAAGCCACATAAAACAACACAGAAATACGATAAATATGCCGAGTTCAGTGGCTAATCTGCAGGATTCAGCTGAGGTGACGGGACGGCGACCAACGAGACCTAGCTGTCAATCAAGTGACCACTCCCTTAATTATGCAGACTTAATATAACTTAATATAAAAGAAACGGATTAGTTATAACAAAATTCACCCCCCTCACAGTTGTCATGAAGGGTAATATTAGCTTTATTAACCAAATCTTTTTTTGTACCAGGCTGTAAACACCTTTTTTTCTGCTGTAAAGTTGGCCATTCTAACAGTGGGCTCAATTGAAATTTGCTCTGTTTTGGAGCCAGGAGCGGCCAGGACTAGCGGAATTGCAGATGAATTGCAGTTTTAGTTACTTCCGTATTGGCTTCCTGAGGGAGAGCGGGAGGTTGCCGCTTGTGTAGAAGTAGTAATTTTTGTAGTAGTAGTAATTGTAGTTGTTGTAGTTGTAATTGTAGTAGTAGTTGTAGTAGTTATAATAGTAGTAGTAGTAGTCATTTTAGTAGTAGTAGTTGTTGTTGTTGTAGTAGTTTTAGTAGTAGTAGTAGTAGTAGAAATAGTTGTAGTAGTAGGTTTAGTAGTTGTAGTTGTTGTAATAGTAGTCGTAGAAATTGTAGTAATAGTTGCAGTAGTAGTTGAAGTAGTAGTAGTTCCGGTAGTAGTAATTGTAGTAGTAGTAGTAGTAGTTGTTGTAGTAGTAATTGTTGTAGTAGTAATAGAATAAAATAAAAATGTACAATGCAGAATAAAAAGACAATGTGTTGGATGGTTGAGAAGCACTGCTGTTGACTACTGTATGCTATTTTAATGCCAGGCACACACTTTTCCTATAAAGCAGGGGTGTCCAAACTCGGTCCTGGAAGGCCGGTGTCCTGGAAAGTTTAGTTCCAACTCTAATCAAACACACCTGAACCAGCTAATCAAGCTCTTACTAGATATATTAGAAACTTCTTGGCAGGTGTGTTGAAGCAAGTTGGAGCTAAACTCAGCAGGACACCGGCCCTCTAGGACAGAGTTTGGACACCCCATGGCTTAAGGCTATTTGGTGCGTATGTATGTGTCTGTCTCTGCCAGTCTCTGTTCCGGATTTATTTACGGAAATGTCTGTTATGTAGCTACAGTATCACAAGCAAAGTATCAAAATTCCACTGATTTCCTGAAAGAAACTTTGCATTTTGGGATAATCCCACACAGCTCTTTGATACAGAGGTGAACTCTGCTTTCTCTCAATGCAATGGATTGGGTAAACACAATATTTCTTCTTTCTTTTTTTGAAAAAGAAAGAGGAGAACAAACATCACTTCTTGCACTTACTCCGAATTGAGTGTGTATGGATGTTTCCCAGTTATGGGTTGCCGCTGAATAGGCATTTGCTGCGTAAAATATATGCTAGACAAGTTGTCGGTTCATTCCGCTGTGGTGACCCCAGATTAATAAAGGGACTAAGCCGAAAAGAAAATGAATGAATGAATAAATGCAGTCTTGGTGAGCAGAACAGGCTTCTTTAAAAGCATTAAACATAATCTTACTGGTCCCAATGCTTTTATCCCGTAGTGTATTTTCTTAAGTGAGTCTGAGCAAGTGTTTCCCAATATTCCCATTCTCACGTTCTGCTGTTGTTTTTGTTTCTCATCCAGTGCATCTGCTGGCTCCGGTAAATGTGATGGCAGATCCAAAGGCCTGGAATGCCACACTGCGCTGGAACTGGACTGTGGAGGCGTATAAAAAACTGGAGATGATCTGCCAGATGAAGCTCATCAGTCGTCAGCTTTCCAGCACAGTGAGTTTCCATCAGCTTTCAGACTCCCAGAGCCCAGTTTGAAGTTCGTGCCCCACATGTACATGGGTATTTTTTTATAAGCAGAGTTCCCCCTCTGCAAAAACACACTGTGATAAAATTTAAGGCTGTTCACACCAGATGCGGCACGTGCGACTGAAGCAAACAAATAGAAAAAGAACAGCAACACCAGTTTTTTAATTTGCACTTAGTCGATGTGCTGTTTACAAGCACTTGAATCGATGAAAACTGATCATCTTATGATTTTTAGTATAATAGAAAACGTGGACCTTTTAAAGAAAAAAGACTTTTTTGATATTATTTTTTTTTTGCTGGATACCTAGACATATGGGTTTCATTGGAAACGAACGTGCAGATAAAGCAGCTAAGGAAGCCCTACAGTTGGAGATTACAGAATGTTAAATTCAGGTGTCTGGTTTTAAATCTGTATATTACTGAGAAATAGCAAATGAAATAGGATGACTGTAGGAATACCAAATTGTATGAAGGGAATCCAGTTGTAAATGAAAGAAATAATTGTCATTTTGAAAATAGACATGACCAGGTGGTACTTACGAGATGTAGAATTGAACACTCAAGACTTTCACACTCATATTTATTGAAAGGGGAAGAAAAACCTACAGTTGAAGTCAGAATTATTAGCCCCCCTGAATTATTAGACCCCGTTTATTTTTTCCTAAATTTCTGTTTAACGGAGAGATTTTTTTCAGCACATTTCTAAACATAATAGTTTTAATTACTCATTTATAATAACTGATTTGTTTTACCTTTGCCATGATGACAGTACATAATATTTTACTTAATATTTTTCAAGACACTTCTATACAGCGTAAAGTGACATTTAAAGGCTTAACTAGGTTAATTAGGTTAACTAGGCAGGTTAGGGTAATTAGGCAAGTTATTGGATAACGATGGTTTGTTCTGTAGACTATCGGAAAAAATTTTACTTAAAGGGGCTAATAATTTTGACCTTAAAATGGCTTTAAAAAATTAAATACTGCTTTTATTCTAGCCGAAATAAAACAAATAAGACTTAAATAAAACATTATCAGACATATGGTGAAAATGTCCTTTCTCTGTTAAACATCATTTGGGAAAAATTTTAAAAAGCAAAAAAAATTCAAAGGGGGCGAATAATTCTGACTTAATCTGTATTTGTGAGTTGTGTAAGAATATTTTGACAATAAAATATATTTTAATATAATGTGTATTTTTAAATGATATTAGAGATTATTTTTATTATTTTAAGTGAAATGTTTGAAAAGGTGCCTTCTGGAGCAATTTTAGAATATTTATCTTTAATCAAACTAAAAGACTGTGAGTTCTATTTTGACGGTCCATGCGCAGAGCGCAAAACGCAGGGCGCAAACACTTTCAGGGCGTGTCAGAACGCATTTTTGCTAATTTACGGACGGGAAAATCCGCTTTGCGCCATGGCGCATGGGCTAAAAGGGTTGAGTTTATTTTCTTAATGAGTTATAGGTGTGTTTTGAGAATAAACCAATTAGAGTCTCATCTCCCATTACCTTTAAGAGCCAGCTGCGTCGCGCCAAGAGCGCATTCGCTATTTACAGGACGCAAAGTAAGTCTAAGTGGAAAAAGTGAGCATTTCACAAACAAACAGTTGACTGTTTTTTAACAGAAAACTGTTAAACAGAGCATCTACTGCGTGAGAATGAGAGATAATGGAACTACTTTCACATTCGCTCTTGGATAGGGAAACCTTTATGCACAGACATCAATTAGTCTATAAATAATTAATTTCGTTTGTTAAGCGCAAATATTTGTTTCAAAACTATTTCTAAATTCAGTTCTAATTTCTAGCAAACGAATAAATGAACAATAATAACCAAGTGTGGTCAAAATACTGAGTTATTTCCAAATACACCTGCCATGCCCCATATATATGTGGATATAAATATAAATGTGGATATAATAAATAATACTGCTAATAATAATAACATTATACAAAAGCAAGTTGTTATGAATGAACTGAAAAAGCCTCCCAAGATGAAGACATAAAAGCAGTGATTTTTCATGTTTATGTAGGCTAGAAAATAATATGTTTTGTAATATTTTAATCCTTTATATTTATATACTATATCTATTCTTATTATATCCTATATATATCCTTAATATTTACATTTTTTTCATATGTAAAGATATTTGCCTATTGCTCTCTTGTGCGTATTAAGCAGTGCGTAAGCGAGGCACAAATCTGCGCTGGAGTTTAGACCGGGTTAGTTTTGGTCTAATGAAAAATCTATTTTAGTTTCTCAAAATAGCGACGCGCCAGCGGTCGCCTCAGAACGCCTTCCTTTTTAGAGGAGAACACCTATGGGCGCACAAATGAGCGCTAATGCATTTGCTATTTAAACAGCGTAGCGCAACGCCTCAAAACGACTCTTGCGCCAAGCTGAAACTACCAAAAGACTATTGCGCCACGCCTTGCGCCACACTGCGCCGGGTGTATGATAGGGCCCTGTATATGACTGTTTTCAGTGTTGTTGCTACTTGTATGTTTTTTTATTTATTTAATTTCTTACAATGTATGTTTGTTAAGAAGCTGATATGATAATATATTGTATATTTATTATATGTTTTTGCCATGAATAAAGCCAATGCTGCTGATATGACATCAGAACCTAAATAAAGTAAAGTGCGAATGAAGCGAATAAACTCAAAATATTCACGCGTCTATTTATGCGCGAATAGCTCTTTTTCACAATAGAAGCGGATTTGCATCATGGGCAGGGCTTCTTTCTGTCTGGTGACTGTAGCTTCGTTGCTGAATGGCTAAAATGGATTTTATTGAGAGATTAGCTGTGTTTATGTGCTTTAGGAAAGCTGAAAAAAGGCGTATATTCATTTGGCACCGTGTCTGAGTCCACTAGATTCATTTAGAGGTGCACCCAGCTCTGTGAGTTCATATCCTTCAGAAACTATACCTGGATGATGGAAGCTTTTAGCAGTGCTTCAGACTGAAATTTGCCCAGTTTGATGAACTGTTCTCTGTCGACAAGAGGATTTTTAAATGGTCATTGAGAAATTAAAATGGTCGTGCCCAACTGAGTCTGGTTCTCTCAAGGTTTTTTTTCCTTCACTCCTACCAGGTGAATTTTTTTTCCCCTCTCCGCTGCCGCCACTGGCTTGCATGGTTCAGGATCGGTAGAGCTACGCATCGATGAATTTGCTCTTCAGTGTTTGAACTCTCAGTAATGATTTTAAATCACACTTAACTGAGCTAAACTGAACTGAACTTAAACACTGAAAACTGAACTACACTGTTCCAGTTACTATGACCATTTATGTGAAGCTGCTTTGACACAATCTACATTGTAAAAGCGCTATAAAAATAAAGTAGAATTAAATTGAATTTAATTGATTTCTCCTCGGGACACCAGCAACACGCACTACGTCATAATCACGCACCTTCAAGAAAAAGCTTCTGATTGGTTAACGCACCGCAAATGTGCGCTGAAGTTCAGGTTTTCCAACTCAAGCGAAATGTGCGTCAAATGCTTAATGCTGCGTTAACAAAAGATGCGGATGAAGCGTCAAGCATGAGTGAGGTGAATGAGGTGGTGCGAATGATGCAGCGCAAGTTGAGTATTTTGCGCGTTTGATGCGCTTAACTCGCGTATCGCATGTTTAGCGCAAATCGCTTGAGTTAGAACATCTGAACTTCAGCAGATATTTGCACCCCGTTAACCAATCACGAGCTTGCTTTTGTAGGGGCGTGATTATGACATGTCTGTTGATGGTTTCCCAAAGGGGGAAATCCTCTTGCTAACCCGGGATAACAGCTTATCAAACTAGGCTCGGCTCATTCTGAAGCACCCCTGAAAGCTTCCATCATCCAAGTATAGTTTCTGGTAAAGTTGATAAACTCACAGAGCTGGGTGCACCTCAGAAAGAATTTAGTGGACTCAGACATGGCGCCCAACGAATCTACATTGTTTTTCAGCATTCCTAAAGCACTTAAACACAGCTACTCTCTCAATAAATTCCATGTTAGCCATTTACCAACAAAGCTAGAGTCACCGGGCAGGCAGAAGCCCTGCCCATGATGCAAAGCCACGTCTATTGTGAAGTGAGTCTATTTTACGTGCGAATGAAATGAATTTGACGTGCGAATGAAGCAAGTAAATTCAAAATGTTGATGCATTTTTTATGAGCAAATAGCACGATTTATTTGTCTAGTTTATGCTGCGTGTGGTGTGAACACTCACTGGTGTGTCAACTCGCTCCATTTAATTCGTGTTAATCGTGCTGCATGCTTTCTATTCGCGTCTTTACATTGGCGTAACATGTAAATCATCAATGTGAAGCATTAAATGCTTCATCCGCGTCTGGTGTGAACGCACCATCAGAGCACCCTGAATCAACAGGTGACAATGACAACTTTTTATGGTAAATTCACACCAAAAATGCGGATTTAAGTATTTGTACGGGCACATTGTATACAAGTCAATTTAAATGTGAGGACAGAGGGGGATTACTGTCCCAATTTTTAGTATGTCATCTATGAATTCTTATTCTTAATGTGCCTGATAATATTTTTTGGCATTTAAACTTCAACTACTCTAATACTTAATTACATTTTAGTCTGTGTCTTCTCTAAATCAAAGTAAAAATGTACAATAGATAAAAATGTGTGAAAAACTAATAAAGCTTTGTTACGATTTAAACTATTACCAAATCCACCTTCCCAATGATGTTTTGTAACGGTTGTACATTTATCAATAATCAGTTTGTCTTTTAACAAATTGTATATTTGACTAGGTGGTGACCTATAGAATACTGTTTCCGGGTTCATTTGAATTAAGAAAATATTTGATTATGACTTTTCAGCCCGCGACCCCCAAAATAACAATGCCAGTGACTCGCGACCCCCAATATCATCTGAGGTGGTTATAAATACAGAAACTTTGCATGCAATGACGCAGACACATCAATTAAATTTGTGTCAGTGCTTTAAATGTGCCAGAAAGTATAACCTGATGTTATAAAATCAAAATGCATCTGACGCTATTGCTGCCTTTAATATAATGTAATTACCCCAGGGGTCGCAATCCAATAGAACTAGTAACTATAAGCTACTATAGTAACTATATAGTATATAGTAACTATAAACGACTATTTTTATTTTCAATATAGTTATGGATAAAATAAGTTAATTCTTATGGTTTAATAAAAATAAATAGATTTTTGGAAATCACCAGGCGACCCCCCTTCATTGCCCCGCGACCCCTCGGGGGGTCCCGACCCCCACTTTGAGAACCACTGGTGTAGACAACAGTCTGTAGACTTGCTGCATCACAGACACCGATATTTTAACTGTTAAAATTTTTTTTTAGCACTTTCTGGTTATCGGATATTAGGCATGGACATATATATTGCAGTTGTGTTTTTTGAAAGTATCTTTTGAAAGCTTTACCATATGGTTTGATAGAGCGCTTAGACTGGGAAGCCGTTTTGCATGACGTCACACTTAACAGGCGGATTGGAAAGTGTTAATATTTTTTTTTCATGCTTTCTGGTTTTACAGTGATTGAGCTGATGTTAGTTTCTCTGTTTTCAGCGTAACTACAGTGGCACAGGTTTATCTTCTGTCGTGCTGGAGGATTTGTGGCCTGATGTGGACTACACTGTGACTGTACGCTGCGCCTCTAAACAAAGTTTCTGGAAATGGGGAGATGAGAGCGCCCCCTGCAGGATACGCACCAAAATGGACTGTGAGTGCTTAAAAAAATAACAGAAAATTTAATGAATCAATTTGCTTTGTCTGCTATTTTAATGGCTCATGACATTTTGACCGAGTACTTATTGACCTTATTCTAAAATGCGGAAGTGCGCCTGTTTTTGCGATTAACTTCCGATTCAGTCGCCTATGGGAGAAATGACTAGGAATAATAAACGGCAGAAAACGGTCAAACTACTTGCTCTACAAACAAATGTTTGCAGGACTATACAGACCAAGTAGAAGAATATAATAAGAAAACATCAGTTTGCAACATCAAACAGCAAAACGAGCTGTTTTTAATGTCTAATAATGAATCGTAGTGAATGAGACCGGAACAGAATACCAACTGACCCAGCCGGGACTCGAACCAGCGACTTTCTTGCTGTGAGGCGACAGTGCTAACCACAGAGACACCGTGTCGCCCCTGGCACAAAACTGTCAAAAAAAAAAATTAATAAACCCATTAAATCCAGAACGTGACAGACAAGCAGATACATACAAATAACATAGCTTTAAATGTCGGGACTGACCCATAAGAATTGAGTATTCCAGATAACGGTGTACAATGTGCGTGCGTGCATGTGTGTGTGTGAGTGAGTGAGTGTGTGTGTGTGTGTGTGTGTGTGTGTGTGTACTTGTTTTTGTGACATATCAGGACACAAATCTGTATAATGACATGGGTATCACACAGGTATTACAAAAAGAAGGTGAAATATGAGGACATTGGTGACGTCCTCATTTCTCAAAATGCTTATAAATTCTACAGAATGAGTTTAATCAGAAAGTAAAGCTGCACACAGTCTCCTGTGATGGCTGGGTTTAGGGGTGGGGTGGGGTGAGGGCAATATAATATACGGTTTGGACAGTATAAAATGAATGGAAACCTATGTAATGTCCCCACTTTTCACAAAAACAAACGTGTGTGTGTGTGTGTGTGTGTGTGTGTGTGTGTGTGTGTGTGTGTGTGATACTAATACTTGTGATACTGAAACTGATACTTTTTTAAGGATTCTTTGATTCCTAGAAAGTTTAAACATTTTGTTAATCAAAGTCCTAAAAAAAAACGTATATTTTCACAAAAATAATTTTTTACTTTATTAATAATAACTTACTATAACTTACCACTCACCGGCCACTTTATTAGGTACACCTGTCCAACTGCTCATTAACGCAAATTTCTAATCAGTCAATCACATGGCAGCAACTCAATGCATTTAGACATGTAGACATGGTCAAGATGATCTGCTGAAGTTCAAACTGAACATCAGATTGGGAAAGAAAGGGGGTTTAAGTGACTTTGAACATGATATGGTTGTTGGTGCCAGACAGGCTGGTCTGGGTATTTCAGAAACTGCTGATCTACTGGGATTTTCACGCTCAACCATCTCTAGGGTTTACAGAGAATGGTCAGAAAAAGAGGAAATATCCAGTGAGCGGCAGTTCTGTGGGCGCAAATGCATTGTTGATGCCAGAGGTCAGAGGAGAATGGCCAGACTGGTTCCAGCTGATAGAAAGGCGGCAGTAACCCAAATAACCACTTGTTGCAACGGAGGTCTGCAGGAGAGCATCTCTGAACACACAACACGTCCAACCTTGAGGCTGATGGGCTACAGCAGCAAAAGACCAGACTGGTACCACTCCTTTCAGCTATGAGTTCACTGTACTCAAATGGCCTCCACAGTCACCACAACTCAATCCAATAGAGCACCTTTGGGATGTTGTGGAACGGGAGAATTGCATCATCTTTTTTTTTTATGTAACAGGGACAATGCTCATTAATAAACAGTAAAACTGTAAATAAGCCAGAGTTAGCCACAAGGGCTAATTTTCATCTGTTGCCCCCAGCCAGATTTTAAAAGGCAACCTAAAATAAAAAAACACATCATCACACATACAAAAACAGTAAAGTTACATATGACAAAGGGGTAGATGCATGTAATAAGAATTTCTTAAAATGTTAGACAAAAGAATTAAACATGATTACAAACTCGATTTGCTTTTAGCCATTTCTTTAACTTGTATTTTAAAGTTGAATAATTTGTAACACCCCTTAATGACTCTAACTGAGAAGACTGATCGTGCAAAAGTTGTACGTCTAAACTGCACAGCACAGTCTCCCCTGGTAACAGATCGTGTTGCTTGACCGTTATTGTTCTTGTGTGTCACAAACTCAAATAATGGAGGTGGAACATATCCATTTAAAATTTTAAAAATCATACAAGTATCAGCCTAATATAATACACGTTTTTGTATTAGATTACAGTGATGATACCTAATAGACTTCTGATCAAATACTTTAAGTGCCTGTTTATAAAGTCATTCAACTGATTTTAAAACTAGCGTGTTACCAACTAGTAAGACAATATGTAATATGAGAAAAAAAAAAAACTATCTAGGCACTTGTGTGATGCTATCATGTCAATATGGACCAAAATCTCTGAGGAATATTTCCAGTACGAAGGATTAAGGCAGTTCTGAAGGCAAAAGGGGGTCTGACCCGGTACTAGTTGGTGTACCTAATATAAAGTAGCCAGTAAGTTTATAATAATAGATCATTATTGAGCACTAAATCATCCTATTAGGATGATTTCAGAAGGATCACGTTTTACTGAAGACTGAATCACACCATTTAATGACAATTGATTACATGCTCAAATAGAAAGATTATTTTAGTTATTAATATTCCACTTGATCAAATACATGAAAATGAAATCAATTTCAGATAATTATATATTTTTTTTATTGCAGTTCCCGATGCTCCTGATGTGTGGATCTGGATGGACAGCAGTAACACAGGACGTGTGTTTTGGAAAGTAGGTACTATTAACAAACATTAATAATGGACCCTTTTTACAAGACTGTTATGACACATTTAATGGTCATAATAAGGTTTTAATATTTAGACTTTAAAAACGTACATACATTTATTTGTGTTTATGCATGTAATATACCATTTTTTACATCAAATTATAAAAAAAAAAAAAAAAAATTACGGCTTATATGAGGTGTTTCTAATGCAGTGTCTATGGAGGTGGAACAGTAAATTTTGAGGTTGTTCTCTCTTCTGGCTGCCGTTATCAGTCTCACACTATTTTTGTCCTTTTTGTTTTTGATCATGGAGTTTTTCCTTTATTATTTCAGCAAATAGGATTGATAACAAATTATTTGTTATACTGTTCCATTCACTGCGCTCTAGGTTTACACAACTATGACGATGTCCTCTATTAAGAAACCTGAAAATGTGAAAAGCGTTCATATACAAAATGACTCTGTTGTTATTAAATAATTGATTAAATAATGCATTTGTTGAAATTTTTGTTACATTTATTTAATTGAATTATCTGAGAAACTGTAGTGGGGTTTTTACCCCTGTCTCCTAACCCACTCTATTAGCCAAATGCCACCACAAACTGAACATCATGTTGTTGTTGTTGTTGTTGTTGTTGTTGTTGTTGTTGTTGTTGTTGTTGTTGTTGTTGTTGTTGTTGTTGTTGTTGTTGTTGTTGTTGTTGTTGTTGTTGTTGTTGTTGTTGTTGTTGTTGTTGTTGTTGTTGTTGTTGTTGTTGTCAGTAAGGCTGGTGTGTGTTTTCTGCCCTTCAGCCTCTGTCTGTTAGTGAAAGTCACGGTGCACTGATCAGCTATGAAGTTTTCCGAAGCGGCCTGACACCAGTAGTTCTTTCTCCTGGGAACATTAGCTATCCCATCATGCCTGACAGCGGCAGTGACATCACCGTTTCTGTGGCAGCACGCAACCCAAAAGGTCTCTCTAAGGCATCGAGTGCGACTGCACCAGCATATAGAGCAGGTAGAGGAAACCGGGAGCATTTGCACACAGCATTTCAAATATTTCCTAAATGATGTTTAGCAGAGCAAGGAATTTTTCACAGTATTTCCTATAATAGTTTTTCTTCTGGAGAAAGTCTTATTTGTTTTATTTCGGCTAAAATAAAAGCAGTTTTTATTTTTAATAGCATTTTAAGGTCAATATTATTAACCCCTTAAGCATTTTTTTTCCGATAAACTACAGAACAAACCACTGTTACACAATGATTTGCCTAATTACCCTAACCTGCCTAGTTAAACTAGTTAAGCCTTTAAATGTCACTTTAAGCTGAATACTAATGTCTTGAAAAGTTTCAAGTCAAATATTATGTACTGTCATCATGGCAAAGATAAAAGAAATCAGTTATTAGAAATGAGTTATTAAAACTATTATGTTTAGAAATGTGCTGAGAAAAAAATCTCTCCGTTAAACAGAAATTAAGGAAAAAATAAACGGGGGCTAACAATTCGGGAGGACTCATAATTCTGACTTCAACTGTATATAGTTATGGGGGAAAAACAAGAGACGATATGAATTTATGATTCATAATTATGTTTGAATAAACCCATTTTACATGTGCATATATAAATATGGTCATATATTTAATGTTATTTGTAGTTATTTTTATTTTATGCTCTGCAAATTGTAGACATTTATTACAAGTTTAAAATACAAATGTTGTAATTTAGAGCATGAAATGACAATCAGTCATAATACCAAAAAGGCCATGTTTTCAGATATGCTTAAGTTTATTTATAACATCGCAATGTCCATTTTTTTTTTGCCTGGAATAATTCTGATTTTCAGTCAAAACAAATATAAATACAGTTGTTTTACTGAGCAATTGTCAATTTCTGCTTATTTTGTCCAGTAGCATCATGTAAATAATTACATTTATATATATGAAATAGTAATTTGTTTAATGTTTTCATTAATATTGTTGTTATACAGTAAGTTATGTTATATATTCTACTGTCTGTAGAGCAAAGGCAGCTAAAGTTAATCTTTTAATTCTACATTTTATTTTCCTTTTCATAGTTAATATTCAATACAACTAGTTTGACATTAAGAGCTTCCGTCTTTTCTGTGATTTCTAGATATCATAGGCACAATTGTTCTTTACGTTGCTTGTTAAATTTTTCACGTTTGTTTTAGTAATAATTGATGAAAAATAGAAAAACTGTAACCTTATATTTATATGTACAATAATAGGTAATGTATTTAGTAATTTTTTATTATTAATATTGTTAGGTCATTTTATTTATTATTAAAAGGGCACCTAAATTTAATCCATTAATTAATTAATTCATTCATTTTCTTGTCGGCTTAGTCTCTTTATTAATCCGGGGTCGCCACAGCGGAATGAACCACCAACTTACCCAGCAAGTTTTTACGCAGTGGATGCCCTTCCAGCTGCAATCCATCTCTGGGAAACATCCACACACATTCACACACACACTCATACACTACGGACAATTTAGCCTACCCAATTCACCTATAGCGCATGTCTTTGGACTGTGGGGGAAATCGGAGCTCCCGGAGGAAACCCACGTGAACGCAGGGAGAAATTGCAAACTCCACACATAAACGCCAACTGAGCCGAGGCTAACCCTAACCCAGAGACCTTCTTGCTGTTAGGCGACAGCACTACCTACTGCACCACTGCTTCGCCCTAATCCATTAATTCTTTTTATTAAATAATTAATATTTAACAAAACTAGTTTCTCGATTTCTTGATATCATAGATTAAATTCACAAAACCTTTAAGTTTCCTACTTAATATTTCCTCTTCATTTTATGAGTCAATGACGAAAATGATCCATATTTATATTTTCAAGAAATTAATATATTATAATTAAGTTAATCATTTTTTTTAACATTTATACAAATTTCTATATATATATATATATATATATATATATATATATATATATATATATATATATATATATATTTTATTTTTATTTTTTTTCATTTATTTATTCATTTATGTGGCAATAATTTATTTGTTTTAATGTTCTAAATGTTGTAGTCACAAGGTAAAAAGGCAAGTGTTAACTAATCTACATTGTATGTGTATCTGTGTGACCTCTTTTGCTTTAGATTCTCAGCTGTCTGTCTCTAAGCTGCTTGGCACCGATGGAAGATTTGATCTGTCCTGGCAGCCGAGTGCCAATGCCAGCAGAGGGTATGTGGTGGAGTGGGTTCCGAGCAGCTGCAGTGGACTCTGCCCCGTCCAGTGGGGGAAAGTTCCAGAAACAAATAACAGCTTCACTATAGAGAGAGGTCAGCCATTAACTGGATACGAGTCAGTTTAGTAAATATGTCAGCAAATGTGTCTGTTTGGACTCTTAAAAATGTCTGCACGCCATTGAATCATTGTATCATTTTCTGTTATTGTGCAGCTCTAATGCATACCAATGATTACCAGTGTTCAGCATTTTTCAAAGCATCTTCTTTTGTGTTCAACGTAAAAAAGAAGCTCATAAAAAGTGAAATGCTGAGTTAATTTTCAGATTCAAGCTATTTCACTTTCCAAATACTTTCAAGATCACTTTATCCCACACACAGTTGTAAAAATCTACTGGAATGTGAGTTTCTCAATGCTTTTGTTTACACTGGGACTGCATGTGTTCTCCATGCGCCTCAGTGATTTCTGCGTCTCTGCTGATTTCAGAGTCTCTGGAGGAAGGAGTGAAGTTCACCGTGTCCGTGTTTGCTCTGTCAGCCGGATCTCCTTCACTGCTGCAGAGGTGGCAGGGATACTCGCAGGAGATGAGTAAGACAACCGTCACCTTCATACACACCTCACACATGCAGACTTTACTGTAAATACAACATTTTTTCCAGCTATAAATCAAGTGTGAATGTTCAGTGAAACTATTAAACACTCTGTGGTGGTGCCGTGTGAATGGAAGCATTATATGACACACAGACAGCCAATGGAAATAGTTAGTTTGCAGGATTTATGTGTCTAAACTACTTTTGGTTTATTGGTAGGGCTGGGGATATGGGATATATGGAGAGTTCAGATGCAAAAACCTTTAAGTGCCGTCTGAAATTTTCATTAAAAATTAACATTATTCTCAGCCTTCGTTGTTTATATTGAGATTTTTGACTTTAAAAACCAGGAAGAGGACTTATTCTTTGTCATAAAAGAGATATTACTGAACATACACATTGGAGCCTGATAAAAATGCTCATTTTAGAGGTAATTTCAGACAGCATTCAGAGGTTTTTGCATCTGAACTCTTCATATCATTACTGTGGAATATTTTTTTATACATAGTGACATGTGAGTAAGTGAGGGTAGATAACTCAGGTAGACATCTGAAGACATCCGCTTTGCGCCGTGGTGCGTGGTCTAACAGGGTTGAGCTTATTCTCTTCATGAGTTATAGGTGTATTTTGAGAATAAACCAATCAGAATCTCATCTTCCATTTCCTTTAGTAGTCAGCTTTGCCGTGCCACACAGCGCATTTGCTATTTACATGGCGGACTTTGTAAGTGGAAAAACTGAACGCTTCACTAGCGAGAAAACAGTTAAACAGAGCATTTACAGCGTGAGAATCAGAGAATGAGCCTCCTCATTTCTCACTTTCACTCTCTTCCGTGGATAAGGAAACGTGTTGTACTCACAGACATCCATTAGCCTACATATATAATTTCATTTGTTAAGCGCAAAGATTTGTTTTAAAACTATTTCTAATTTCAGTTCTAATTTCCAGCAAACGAATAAATGAACAATAATAACGAAGTGTGGTCAAAATATTGAGTTATATCCCAATACACATGCTGTGCCTCATATGGTCCAAAACCTGACAGGTGGGCAAATCTTAGCTTGTTTTTAATAAAACAAATTTAAATATGCATATAAAAATAACACTGCTAATAATAATAACATTATACAAAAGCAAATTGTAATGAATAAACAGAAAAAGCCCCCCGAGATTAAGGCATGGAGGCAGTAGAGCTGCATAATTAATCGAAAAAAGATTGCGACCTTGATTCGACTCCCTAGGTGACCTTAATCCAGCATTTCTACGATTCTGTCAATCATATTTTCAAGTTCAGTTTGTTCGTGTTTGCTGAAAAAAAATTTGCTTCTTTGTTTTTGTTTTTTTCCCCGGCTTCTCCTTTGTTTTTTTTCTGCATCACTCTCACATTTGTCATCGGGTTTTAAAAGCATGTCAGTAATCACGCGCACGTTATTGTTATTAGCTCAAGAAGTTCATTATTTCAAATATAGACGCACACGTGAGTGCAAGCTAGAAAGCGAAACCACTCGTGCTGTAGAGTGGCTCGTAAAAACTAAGGGACACAGGGTAGAATCTGCTATTCTTCTTGGCTCTGTGGCTGTTCATCAAGACGGCATGGCTCGTTATTATATGTATATATTATTACTGTGTAATCTCTCGGCTGTGTATTTTAAAAATGGGGGTTCCTTTGTTTTTATTCTGGCTTGTTGCGTGAGCGAATGACACATCTCTGTAAATCAGTAGTGTTCAGCTGTGCGTCTAGCTCCGCCTTTTGGTACCCTTGGTACCCCTTTGCAAAGGGTGACAAAAAAGTGGTACAGTACGGTTTGATTTGGTATGCCTTTTGACAGTGGAAACGGCTATAAAAGCGTACCGTACCGTACCAAAACGGCCCATGTGAGTGTCTGTGTGAGTGTATGGGGGTTTCTCAGTACTGAGTTGCAGCTGGAAGAGCATCTGCTGCATAAAACATATGCTGGGATAGTTGGCGGTTCACTCTGTTGTGGCGACCCTTGATAAATCAGAGACTAAGCTGGAGGAAAATGAATGAATGAATGAATGGTAACCACTGGTTTAAAGAACTCATGACGCTGGTTGACAAGCACAGTTTTACTCTTCATTAAGTTTGTGGAGATCATATAAAAGCCTGACCCTTTCTTTTCATTTAATTTTTACTTGTAACTCCAACTTCAAATGCGTCATGAACAACAGCAATTAAGATAAGCAATCCACCAAATCAATTTCAACTTTTATCTGTTGCTCAACTCAATACACTGATGAATCAGGATATTCATAGCATAGATGGAGGTTACGCTTGGCTTTAGAGAGCATTTTATTGGACACGCTTGTATTTAAAAATGAATCTGCAACATTTATTTGGTCAGTTATGGTTGCAAGGCCTCTGACAGCGGATAGAGATTGATTTAAAAGCCTCAAAAGCTCAATTTGGATTTCACAGGCTCTTAAATTACATTAGCCGTTGCTGCTAATGGGATGTATTGATTTATGCTTAGTCGCACTGTCTGGAATCGGTTTGTTTGTCTGTTGTATGTAGATATATTCATTCGTTTTTTTAAATGTCCCATGAAGTGCTTTGATATGTGCATTTTTTTATTTGATGTTTGACATAACCTCAACTGAAGTACGAAGAATGGGTGGGACATAGAGTAGCTCCTTCCCTTTTCAAGAAAATCACCTGTGGTGTTTTGTTTTTGTCAGCTCTGCTAATGAGTAGTTGAGCTTCAAGCCCATCAAATAAAAAGCGTCTTGAATGGGGCGGGGCTGTCAGATACAAGAGAGCATTTGATTGGTCAGAATATTTGATGAGAAACTGAAGTGTGAGGTAAAGTGAAATTAAATCGTTGATCCATTTAGGTGGAAGTGACAAACTGCAAGCTTTGGACGTTTATATTGGTTTTATGTTTTAAATTTGGTCACACTAGCTTACAGATATCCTTAAGACTAAACAACTGAAATGAACACTTTTAGGTTGTGTTTTATTTGAAGTTGTTTTGGTTACAGTGTCATTATTATACATCCAATACTAAGTAATATTAATTAGCAATTTATTTATTATGTAATCAGGGTTTCATTTAGATTTGGTTGGTTGTAATTAATGTATACATTACATATAATATGCAACAATAATGTGCAACAAGGACATTGTAACAAAGTTTAAATTAGTTTTCCCTCATACAAAACAATTTCCAGTATTAAAGCTGACTACACCACTTACATTTATTATCATACTGTGTCCCTTTAAGAAATGAAGTTTAAGTGAATAAAGTGTATGTAATATTGTAGTTGTTGTTGTTTTTATTGGTATGACCTTTAACATCTAGCTAAGGGACCAGCAATGAATGCTAGTCTTTGGGCTAATTTGTGTACATTTAAGTTCTTGGTGAATATTTATTAAAGTACACTGTCCCTTGTTATGAAAAATAAACTTAAACTTGATAGATCCCTGTGCTTCAGTGATAATAATTAGAGTCGCCATTTAAATATTTTTTTTATTGTCGTTCATAGCAATATACAAAATCACAACCTTCTTACATTTTTTTTTTTAATCTCAAGAAGCCAGTTCATGCTAATTTTGCCACAATGGCTAAGAAAAAAAACTTTTAACAACTTCTGTTTCATGCTTACTTATTATTGGAACTTACTGGAATTATTTATACAGAATCTGAAAATAATATAAGCAGTTACACATTATAATCTATTTTTTGTGGTTCCCTCTTTTTTTCTGTAGTTCCTTCACGGTCTGTTCGTGAACTATCAGCCAATCAAACTGGCTCGAATGTGTTGTTGTCTTGGAAACCTGCAGAGATGGACTATCAGCGAGGATTTATTCTCGGATACAACATCTATATGGCGAATGCTGCGCGTCTGGATCTTATAGGTAAGCACACAGAAACAGCCAATTCCCTGAAAAATTTACTAAAACCAAAATTTGCAATTGTTTTTTTTAAGTTAATAAAAATTATGTTTAAAATGTGTTTAAAATTCTCTCTCAGTTAAATAACATTTTATATTAAACAACACTATATTAAAGTTAAACAGCACAAACATTTTTAAAAGATTAAACAAAATATATATATATATATATATATATATTTAGAAATCTTTAGAAATATTTAGAAAACAAAACTAGTTAGTTTAGAAATAAAGTTATGTGTAATGAAATGAAATGACGCAGTGAAAAAGTATTGAACACATGAATAAAGAGAGGTGTAGAAAGATAGTGAAAGCCCAGACAGCAGCTGAAATCTCTCAGTAGTTCTTCAGCAACCCTCTGCCCTTCATCAGTGTAAATGAATATCAGCTGCTTCAGTCCAACATCTACATTAGCAGGAGGATGAAGATGAAACCAGAGTGGACATTTCAGCAAGACAATGACCCAAAACACAGCCAAGGAAACTCTCCAATACTTTCAGAGAAAGAAAATGAAGCTGTGGATTGGCCCAGCCAATCACCTGACTTGAATCCAATAGAAAATACCCAATAATGATCAGTTTGGATAGATGAGACTCACAGAACCATCAAGATGTTTACACTCTGTTGAAGTCTGTGAATAAAAATATCTTTAACAAGTCATCTCTTGTGTTTTTTTTCCCCCTAGCTAATCTCTCTGACCCTGAGGTGCGCTCGTACAGGTTAAAGGGTTTGTCTCTGAGCTCGTATAAGTTCATAGTGAAGGCCTACACCTCAGCTGGGGAGGACGCAGGGACGATGGTGTCCATAAAGATGGAGATGGACAGTAAGACATTATGATGATTCTTCCACTGATCTGTAGCCTTATACATTGTTCATGTCAGCTTTTGCTTGTATTCATTTTCTCTGTTCTTTCAAGCTGCCGACATGTTGTTTGTTGGCATCCTCGTGCCGTTGGTGTCCATGTTCTCCTGCATCATCCTCATCAGCATCTGCTGCTACAAGAAGCGAGCATGGTAAGACTTAATTAATGGGCTTTAATGGCATTTCTATAGTGATTTCATTTGATATATTCAATGTAAATGGCTTACAGTATTCGTGTTACAGCAGTCCTATATAGTACCTGAATATAGTATAGTAGATGTATATAGTATATAGTACCTATAAATGTAAATTATTTTATCTTATTTTTTATCCTCATTGTTATCATTATTAAGCCAAAATTCTTACTAGAAATCAGCATTTTATATTTTTATTTAATTTGTCGTTATTTGGTTGTGTTTTTAATAGTGGTGGGCCGTTATCAGCGTTAACGCGAGACTCTTATGGCACGATAAACAAAAAATATCGACATTAATCTATTCTCAAAGTTGGGTTGGGAGCTGGGTCTATTCTACGCAAGCTATGATGAATTTCACCTTGATATTTTAGCGTGGACGTATACTTGACTGGTGAACCGTCTGACAAAAAAGTGGCCTTCTGAATTAAATCAGCAGGATGCCTGACTTTAACTGCAGTTCGGCAGTTTCACTTTAACTCATGAACATTTCATTCAAACTGGGGTATTAGACATAAATAAGGAGTAAGGACTGGTGAGAGTGTTATGGAGTTTAATAATGCTTGCAAAAATGGAAAGGAAAAAAACTTCCGCGTTTCGCCATGTGTGTGTGTTTGTTTGTGCGGTCCTTTACTGAGAGCCTCGTGTATGGACATTGTTGGAAAATGTGGCGAAAAGTCCTACATGAAATTATACGAGGCTTTAAGCTGCTCCTTATGACGCCGGAGGCAACCCAATTAAGAACAATGGAATTCCTTTTGCGTCGGCATAGTTACGCCAAGGGGTACCTTTGGCGTTCTCATACTGACACGCAAGGTGCTTGACCATGCTTTAGATTTTGACGCCTTTGAGGTGAGTGGGTTTGGGGCGTTTACTTCAATAATGCTTCTAATATCTGCATGCTCCACGTCTTAATTCTATTTTTGTTTAGTTCAGTTGTGACTTTAGTCGGATTAAGGTAATCAAAAATCGCTGTTTGGAAGTCCTACAGTTCAAAATTCATGTTTAACTGAATAACAGTTACACAAGTACATCTTATTGAACATCATTTAATTTCATCGCCAATTATCATAGCAGAACAGTTTTTCAAGCAGTTTGTGATGCATTTTGGAAACAGGAGATAAGCCCCTGGTCTAATGCGCCACCTGGCTTGAGAAACCTGTTCTCAAAGACTTATTATTTGGGTAGCACACATATTCTGAATGCCTTCGGTAGAATTCAAATGGGCCAATTTAATCTAGATTAATTCTGAGATTTATCTAGATTAGTCTAGATTAAAAAAAATTATCTATGCCCACCTATAGTTTTTAATGTTTTCAGTTGCTTTACATAGTAGTTTTTTGCTCTGAAAATTTCAAAGAATTTTACGTTGATAGCATTGATAATTCTAACATTGGATTGATCTTAATTTGATTTTAAAACACAGAAAAAAACTCAAAAAACAATCAAAGTATTTTATTTGTATCATTCCAATGAACTGCTTTATTTAAAACTGATCAATCTTTTTTTCAGTGTGCTTCAGCATGTATTTTGATATTTAGAATTTAATACAAATCATTACATATAATAATGATACATAATTTAATAGAAGTGAGTTTTAATAGGTTATACAATGTAGAAAACAAGTTTGTTTCATTTGGTAATCCTGTTTATTTTTGTTACCTCAATTAATTTGACTGCAACATTTTAACTTTTAGTTGACAAGAACAGCTCTCATCTAAATCTGTTATTAATTCCAGGGTAAAGAAAGCTTTCTATCCTGAAATCCCTGGACCTAAAGTACCTGGCAACTGGTCGTCTCCACAGGTAAAACTTTTTTTAGTGGAGTTTGCTAAGGCAAGAATTAATATTACTAATTCCAACATAAAATAGATTATTCTAGAGGATTCCTGATTGTGTAGAATTATATTTGTCAACAAACAAGCCTTTCAGTAATATGAAAATTGACTAATTGTGGGAAGGATTGCCTTCATTATGCATCCGGGTAAGAAGTTAAAAACCTCATGTGTTTGGAAGGAAGTTAATTTCTTTTATATATCTTGAAATCCTTTATTTCTTTGTTTACATGCATGTGATTAGCCATGTTTCTATCCAAAGATGTGACTTAGACTTATGTGCACAACTGGAATATTGCATAAAACATTTGTAAATTTAAGCACCGTTTCCATTTAATGAGTCAAAGAGAACAAAATCATCACTTCCTGATGAATTGGTCGCAAAAATTAAAAAGGAAAAAGTGTGGGCCTTTTCTTGTATAATAAACTACTTGCACCTCAAAAGGCGAAGATAAAATGCAGGGATCGTGCGATGTTAATTGATCCCATCCAATGCCCAATTTTTAAAAGAATGACTTTTTGATTTGCTTTTTTGATAATTTTTTTGGTAAATGTTTTTCTATTGTAGCTTATACACATTATTTCTTATAGGATAAAAAGTTTATCATACTTAGTTGTGTGTGTAAGATTTTGATATTATTAATAATAATAATTATTTTATCAGAAGATTAATGAATGTGCGTTGAACTTGTATTCATAACACAAAAAATATTGTATAAAAAATATTGCAATGGAATTTGCTGTGGTAGGAGACTCCACTGTGGGCCTTTTTTTTTTGTATAATAAATCACCTGCGCATCAAAAGATGAAGACAAAAGGAATAAATCTGCGGTGAAATTGTATTCATATCACAATAAACATTGTAAAAAAGAAAAATATTGCAATAGAATTTGCTGCGGTAAAAAATGCCACTCTGGGCCTTTTTCTTTATATAAATTACCTGCGCATCAAAAGATGAAGACAAGAGCAATGAATGTGCTTTAAACTTGTATTTATACAGTATCAGAATAGATTTTGTAGAAAAGAAAAATATCACAATGGAATTTCTGATGGTTGGAGAATCCACAGTGGGCTTTTTTTCTTGTATAATAAACTACTTCTGCATCAAAAGGTGAAGACGAAAGCAACCAACCTGCAGTGAAGTTGTATTCTTATCACAATAAACATTGTAGAAAAGAAAAATATTGCAATAGAATTTGCTGCGTTAAGAAAAGCCACTGTGGGCTTTTTTACTGTATATAAATTACCTGCGCATCAAAAGATGAAGACAACAGCAACGAATGTGCTTTAAACTTGTATTTATATCACAATAATTTTAGTAGAAAAGAAAAATATCGCAATGAAATTTACGATGGTAGGAGAATCCACAGTAGGCCTTTTTTTCTTTTATAATAAACTAATTGTGCATTAAAAGATGAAGGCGAAAGCAACTAATGTGTGTTAAAATTGTATTTATATTGCAATAGATTTCGTAGAAAAGAAAAATGACGCAATAGAATTTGCTGTTGTAGGAGAAGCCACTTGGGGCCTTTTTTGTTTTATAATAAATAACTGGTGCATCAGAAGGTGAAGACGAAAGGAACGAATGTGCAGTGAAATTGTATTCATATTGCAATAGATTTCGTGGAAAAGAAAAAATATCGCAATTGAATTTACGATGGTAAGAGAATCCACAGTGGGCCTGTTTATTAATTTACTTAGCATCCCATTCAATGCGAATGTAATAATACTTTACAAATTGAACTATTAAAGACATCTGGTGAATTTGTGTACGTATGACAATGAATATTGCAACAGAATTTGCTGTTGTAGGACTGGGCATTTTTCTTATATAATAAATTACTTGCTCATCAGAAGATGAAGATAAAAGCAATGAATGTGCATTGAAATCTTATTTATATCGCAATAAATGCCGTAGAAAAGCTAAATATTGCAATGGAATGTGTTGCTGTAGGAGAACTGTAGGACTCTGTGGGCTTTTTTTTCTTATATAATACATCACTTGCTGATCAGAATATGAAGATGAAACCAATGAACGTGTGTTGAAATGTAATTTATATCGCATTAAATATCGCAATGGCGAGTTTGTCCAATATCCTACAACCCTACTGACTAACCTGAACGATTCATTTTGTGTTTAGGGGCCTCTGGACATGAAGCCGTCTCCACACAGTCTGGTCCAGATCGTGGAGAGTCCAGAGTGGGATATCACAAAAGAGAGTCTGGTTTCAGTACCAGAGGAAGAGGAGAACGAAAACATGGAGGTGGACACAGACTCCGATGAACCGGCTCTTCTAAAATACTACAATCAGGTTGTGGGACACGGCTCTCGCAGCAACCAGATCTCCGATTCCTCCGGCTCCTCCACGGCCTCAGTGGACTCCACACAGACCGAGATCACCTATGCCGGCATCCAGAGCCCGACATCATCACAGGGAGCCCATAGTGGAGGATACAGGCCTCAAATGCAGCCTTCTGAGAATCCAGACGAGCCCCAAGATCAGCTGGATGATGATGATGATGATGGCTTGAACACAGGATATAAACCCCAGTGTTCCTGGCAGATGGACTCTCCAGAGGCGGAAAACTTCAGCGGTTCGCTTGGCAGCCCTACATCCATAACATCATCCCAGTTTCTCATCCCAGAATCCTCAGAGGAGAAACCGCAGTCGTCCAGCAGCTGGTTCCACAGTTTTCTCTCTGGGAAATCCTGAAAACACAGATGTGTGAGAGGATGATATCAGGGTTTGTGAACCTTCTGGAAATCCTTCACTATTATTGTCACTACTGTTTTTTTCGAGGACTTGTGTTTCTGACCAGAGAGGTAAATTACTACTGAAGAGCTGAAAGATGGCTGTTTTTCATGCTCTCGCCCTAAGCAGTATGACGTTTGCTCCCTAGAAACACTGCTTTTGTTCATTTAACAGTGTTTGTGTCTCTTTTAGCAGTGATTACAGTAAAATGGAGACCATTATAGAGTATTTTATGCATATAAAGGGATAGTTCACGCAAAAATGAATGTTTATGCTCTATTTGCTCACCCTCAGGTGGTTACAAACTTGAGTTTTTGTTTCTGTTGAACACATAACATGATATTTAAACAAATACTATAGAAGTCAATGGTTACAGGTTTCCAACATTTTTCTAAATATCTTCTTTTGTGTTCAACTGGAGAAAGAAATCAAAGGGTGACTAAGCAAGACAGAATGTTCAGTTTTGGGGTGAACTATTCCTCATAGCAACATTTCAGTCATTTTTCGTCCTACATTTTCGTAGCAGTCAAATGTAGGCTTTGTTTGCGGATTTTCATTTCAAAAGACCATTTGTTCTCAAATCTACGCTAGTTTCAGGTGATTTTAAATATTTTATGTAGCCTCAAGCTAGTTTCTTTCTTCCAGTGTTAATGTATACACACTTGCACATTGAATAAGCTGACAGAACAAAAGGAAAGCAGATTGGGGGAAACGAGCCTCTCGGATTTAGCTTAAATCGTGCATGAATGTCCACTGTTTGCCGAACACATTTGTTAAAGTGTTTACATGATCCTACGTTGCGTGTAAAGATGCCTGTAAACACATTGTGGCTTCATAATGGCATGTAGCTAGTTAGTTGTGTGTATTTGTGTTCAACGGATCTTGCTACACAGTATTGCATTGTAAAAACTTTACTTCGATAAGGTTGCACGATTTATTGGATAATGTATAATATTGGAAAAATTAATTGGGATTGCAACTCAAATATTCAGATTTGCATTTTTTTCCCCAAGGTGTATCATAGCAATATGACTTGTTATTATTTACAATTATTAATCTAAAATTAATCATATGTTTTTATATTTTGTTTATTTATTTAATAGTACAATCACTCAATAATTTGATTTAATTTGTTGTCATTATTATTATTATTATTGCTACTATTATTAATAACAAAGTATTTATAATTAATAATAATAATTAGTAGTAAAAAAAATAATTATTATTTTTGTTGCTGTCATTGTTATTATTATTATAGCTACTATTATTAATAACAAAGAATTTATAATTAATAATTAGTAGTAGTTGTAGTAATAATAATTGTTATTATTATTATTTATTGTTATTATAGCTAGTATTATTAATAACAAAGTATTTATAATTAATAATAATAATTAGAAGTAGTAGTTGTAATAAAAATTAGAAGTAGTTGTAGTAATAATAATAATAATTATTATTAGTAGTAATAGTAGTAGTAAATTTATTATTAATTTATTTTTAATAATATTAATTTTATAATTGATAATAAAAAGTAGTAATAATAATGCTAATAATATATTTTATTATTATTATTATTATTAATAATTTAGTTTAGTTTAGTTTATTTATAATTTGACAGGGTATAGCAGCACAATTCCCTAAAATGCACCAAACACACACTTGAAACAATATTTGACTGATAAAAATACTAATAAATGACATGATAAACAACCAAAGTAAAAAACTCTGATTTTAGTGAGCGTACATATAGGGTGGCTTCCTAACGCCTTACACTCACCTACTACTCAGTAGGTACTGCATTTGAATTTAAACGCACCACTCGTCTATTAGAAAAATACGTTCTATACAGTATGAATGTGAGCAGTATCAATGGAACTCTTTACATCCACCATTTTGTCATGATCATGTGACCTACCCTTGTTGGTCACTTCCATTCATGAATTCTCGCACGGGGCATTATAGGATAGCGCAGCGTGCTTGGGATGCACACCTCAGAATCTTGCCGGAAGTAGTAGGTCATCCAGGTATTCTTGCTTACTGTTTTTTGAATTCCATGAATTCGGACATACAACTTGGCTCGCATACTGTTCGTAGCGTACTATATAATATGGAAGTATGTGATTTCGGTTGCAGCGTCAGTGTTTTAAAAGTTGAAGTCGAAATACCTTTTATCCGACAACACCACTTTTGGATTCTCTCTAACTCCTCCGAGAGACCTTTTGGTGGTCCGCCCCCGACTACCATACTCAGGAACTGGCTGTATAAAGGTCAAGAACACTTGCATTAGAACGTCACAAGAAAAGATCTTCGCAAAGGTAGCATATGTACTTAACGTGGACATCCCATGATAGATCAGAGGATATTTGCACACCCGGCAATTTAAAGGTGGAAACTCTACTATTGTTAGTAATATTACTAATAATATTATAATAAATCAATTTTTGTTAATTACAAATTATTAATACATCATTATTATTAATAGTAGTGGTAATAATAATAATAATAAATTATTAATACGTTATTTTAGTGGTTGTACAATTAAATAAATAACCATAAAAGAGAAATATATATATATATATATATATATTATTGGACAGTAAAATTGTAGTTACAAAGAAAAGTTACTAAGAAATAAAACAAATCTTGCCGTCTTATTTTCTTCACTTATAAATGTTAACATGTGGAAGACTTTTCAACATTTGCAGTTTAATTAAGCACATCACACTTTAAGTTTTATTTGTAATAAATCGTGCAGCCTTATTCTCCGCAACATTTTTCCAAAGAAAGCTGTGTACTGTTGATCTAAAAAATCTACTTTGTAGGACGTTAGACTCATTTCATTTTTCCTTTCCAAATGGTCAGTAAGATAAATGAAATCCGGCATTATCTGTTAATTATGTGAAGCACCTTTTCAGTTTTATGAATAAGTCTTTTCACTCCTTGAAGTCTTTCTCAATTCAGCTTTCATACAAGCGTAGCACCTCCCAGTTTCAACTCGTGTTATTGAATATCTAATATTAGATGCATCTATCCAGGATGAGGATATTTTCATCAAGAGATTGTCATGGGGTTTCAAATGACGGCAGTGCCTCAGGAGATTAGCTAGATGTCATCAAAGCAACGACACCTTCTCTCAGAGCTGTTTTCTTGTCATTAGGATTATTGGACTCGCATGGAGAACAGGGTAAATCACTTTAACTGGCCTAACTCGCATCTGTTCCTGCTGTTCTCAAGACTTCATTGGGCCATCGTTCAGATTTAAGGCTATACTGTGAAAGCCACTGTGCATTTCGCTAGTCCTCCAAACATTTCTGCAGCAGATTCAATACGTCAGGAAAACACTGAGCCTAAATGGAGAAAGTCAGCATCAAATCAAAAGCAACCCATTTTACTTCTCTTATAAACATTCCTGGTGCTATTGTGCCTTTTTTAATCTTTACGTTTGATCTACTAAAATAAATTGAGATTTGCGAGCTGACGTTGAGTCATTCGTGTAGTTAATTAAGCAACTAAACATTAAGAAACAACTAAATGTAGCGATAAACAGCTAGCGAACTGCTATGCAGGTAAACCTCACTCCTCTGACCTCAAAAGGTGCTCTAGCGACTGACGTTTGAGGTGATTAGATGTTAATGTTAAACTAAGAGTATGTAACATAACATACAATAGTTTAGTGTGTGTGACAAGAGGATGGAGGAAGAAATGACTTAAAAACCAAATATCACTGCAATTATTTATTGCCCATACTTCCAGTGAAACCAGTGAACATATATTATACAGTGAAAGAAAAATATTTACAATAAATAAATGATGAATTTCCTGGGGGAGAGGAAGTAGTTAGATGTGCTTGAATCAAAGAAATAAATATAACAAAACCCACTAACTGTATTCAACAAACTAAACTCAATATGAAAAGAAAAGCATGAAAAGAAACATCGTCAACGTACCAAATGTCTTAACTAAGCTACTCTATAACTAAAAACCAAACATACACAAAGCAGCACATTCTCCTGAACCTAATGAACTAATACAAAGATGAGTCTCGGTGTTGTATATGTACATCACGCGACTTACTCACTCCAACACCCTCTCCGAGGGATCACTCAAACATATCAGTTAACTGGACAAGTTCACAAGCAAACGCATTGCACTTTCTGATCTCAAAACTTTAGACAAGAGCCTCCTCACAGAGATCCACAGAAAAAATAAGAGCGAGAAGGAGCGAGAGATGGAAAGAGATAGCGATCACTATTGTAGTTTGGGCTTGGCTTTTAAATGCTACGTCGACCAGCAATTGGTGGCGCAAACCCAGCGTCAGCGGCCAACGTCATCCGCACAAAATGCAGATCCTCCAATGCCATTCGTACCTGTAACACATGGATGAAACAACACACCCCCATACAAACAAACGCGCGCACACATACCCAAAATACATTCTGCAAGCAAACGTAACACCGGGTTTGTTGCGGTAGGAACAGTGGGTTGCATTTGGGGGCTCGTCCGGGATGGGAGTGAAATTTAGGTGGGGCTGAGTGTAAAGGAAGCCAGCTGGCAGAGTGGTTTGCAGATAAACCTCGCTCCTCTGACCTCAAAAGGTGCTCCAGCGACTGACACGAGAGGCCATGGTCTTTAGCCTCCTTGGTAGAGCAACCAACTTTCATGCAAAGAATCGCCGGTTCGATCCCAGCTCAGACCGGGTTTGGTGCGGTAGGGCCAGTGGGTTCCACGTGGGGGCTCGTCTGGGATGGGGGTGAGTGTAAAGGAGGCCAGCTAGTGAAGAGCTATGCAGGTACACCTCACTCCTCTGAACTCAAAAGGTGCTCTAGCAACAGACGTGAGATGCCATGGTCTTTAACCTCGTTGTTAGAGTAAGCGACTTTCGTGCAAAGAATCACCAGTTCGATTCCAGGTCAGAACGAGTTGTGTGCGATAGGACCAGTGGGTTACATAAACATAAAATCGTATTGAGTTGTCCAAATGCACTCACTCTGTGAGTTGGAAGTCAGTAGGATATAGTAAGGTTTTGCCTGCCAAGGGGGCGTTCCCCTAATGGAGTGGCGTCAAGTTAAAAGTGTCAATGGTATCTGGTGGTTAGTCTTGAATGGTCCTTTGTCGGAAATTAACAAAAAAAAAAAAACATACTCAAAGTACCACATTTCAGATTCGCAAATATATATATATATATATATATATATATATATATATATATATATATATATATATATATGTAAACAGCGCCCTCTAGTGGTATTGTCATCTGAAACGTGCAACGAAACGTACTGTGAGCAACGTATTTAAGGTTTTACACAATATCGGCTGATGTATGCAGTTTTAATGAGTCTGGGCTGATTTATTCATTCAAAAATACTGTTATTTAACTATCATTATCAGAATAATCTTTCAAAATATCGAGACTTAATATGTTGTCAATATCAGGCCTTAGTCTTAAGATAAAAAGTCAAACTCTGCCATATTTTTTTCCTCACTGAATATGTTGATTGACTCATCACAGTAGGGAAGTCAAACGGGTTGCGATGCCATTTGTTGTTGACTTTGCAGAGCATCAGATTAGTGGCCATTAAACTCCTATTGTGGCTTGTGATTGAAAGGGCATTAGATGATGAACTTTATTAGCAGTGAGATTAAATAATATGAGTGTGGTCGGCGTCTATTGTTGCTTAAGCTTTAAAACACTACTGTGAACGATTTTATTATGTCGGGATGATTAGTTACTAATATGTAACCTGTGCAGTTACTGAGGCCTACTAATGTTTATTTTTTTATTTGCTTGTATGAATGTGAAATGCACAGATGTATTTTTTTTGTTGTTGGTGTTTTTTTAAGTGTTGAATGAAATGTGTTCAGAAAGCTTTAGCTGCGGATTTTGTAGCCCAGATGAACGTGTTATTAGCTGTACAAATGGAAAATGAGCTAATGTTCTATATGCAGGCTATCAAAATCATCTCAAGGTGTACATTCTCAGTGGGGAGAAAGTTAGACGAATGTAACATATACAG